CGTAGAATACGAATTAGACATCCAAACTGAGTTTTGATTTCTTTGCGAAATTTTTGAAAAATTAAAAATAACTCAGAACGATCTTTCATTAAAAACAACCAAGTCAGGCGAGAATAATCATCCACAAACGTCACAAAATAATGAAATTTATTGATTGAAGAATTTTTTATTGGACCCCATACATCTGAATGAACCAAATGAAAAGGACTAGAGACACGATTATTAACCCTAAACTTGAAAGACACACGATGGTGCTTACTAAGTTGACAAACTTCACATGACAAGAATTTCAAATGACTAAGACTAGGAACTTGACGCTTCAAAACTTGAAGTGACTAGTGACCAAGGCGACAGTGCCACTGGAATGGAGACAGAGAAGACTGAAGAGCCACAGGAGAAGATTCGAAATCAAAATAATATAAGCCACCAGCTTTATGACCCGTACCAATCGTCTTCTTCGTCTTGAGATCCGGAAACACACAAGAAGTAGGATCAAATGTAACAGAGCACTGGAGAGATTTAGTAAGCTTACTGATAGACATTAAATTAAAGGGAAACTGCGGAACATGTAAAACAGACGAGAGAGACAATGAATCACTAAGTGGAGTTGTCCCCAAACCTGAAACCTGAGTGGATGAACCATTAGCAAGAGTAACACTTTGAGAAGGATGTACAGAATGAAAATCAGATAAAAGAGAAGAACATCCGGTCATATGATCAGATGCTCTAGTGTCTATGATCCAAGGACTGCGAGTGGAAGACAATAGACATGTGTGTGCAATACCTGACTAGGCAAAAGTAGCCGTGGAAGATGAATTAGATGCTTGCTTATAAGATAAAAACTGGGTATACTCATCCTGTGGAACAGGAACTGTATCTGATTCAACTACGTTATGTGATCCAGAAGCAACATCATTCGGAGAAGAGGAAACTTGATTGGCATAATTAGATGGTTTCCCATGAAGATCCCAACAAAAGTTCACAGTATGATTAGAAAGACCACAATGGGTACACTTTCTGAATTCCCTGCCACGGCCACGTCCTCCACGTGGATCACAACCACCACGGGTGGAGCGTCCCCCACGACCTCCACGGTAAGTATTATGTTCACCCTTTGAGACCACTAATGCTGAACGGTCACCACTCTGTCCAATAGTCAAATTTGAGGTATCACTTGCAAGTGTAGCACGCTGAAGTCTAGAAAACACCTCAGCAAGAGATGGAAGTGTTGGACTGCTCATAATCTGTGCACGAAAAGGCTCATATGCTGATGATAAACCAGTAAGAAAACGGACAACATTAAAGTCTGCACGCTGTTGTTGCATACTGCGAACATCACCTGTAATGGACTGATACATATTCAGCTCTTCACAGACTCCCATAACTTTAGAATAATACTCTTCTATACTTTGAGTACCTTGTTCAAGATTGAAGTAGTGCTTACAGAGCTCATAAACACGAGTGATATTACCTATCCCAGAATACAATTGCTGCAATCTGTCCCATATCTCCTTGACAGTATCCAAATAAAGTAGAGTTGAACTAATTTGGGGTTCAATACTGTTTATCATCATAGAGATGATCTGAGCATCTTCCTATTCCCATGCATCAAAGGAGGCATCAGCTGCCTTGGGTTTCTCTTTAGTCAAATGTGAACCAAGACCTCTGCCTTTGAGGAAAATGGCAACAGATTTAGCCCACAATATGTAATTCTTCCCATTCAGTTTAACTGAAGTCATGGGAGAATGAAGACTGTTCGTGGGTGACAGTAAATCTAAACTAGATGCCATGTTGAATCCAGCAAAAACAGAGAAGAAAAAAAAAACGCGGGAGAGAAAAAAAACAGATTCTGTATTCTGGCCAAACCTGGGAAACCGGGTCGGATCTGGTCAATGGACCTGGTCAAACGGGTTAGACTAAATTGGGCTATCCAGGTTTAGCAAACCAGGGTTGAAGTAGCCATAACCATGTAACCAAACAGAGGTCTTCTTCTTTACACCTTCACGGACGCCGGGGAATAACGCGGCAGCAACGACGACGACCCAATCACAAGGAACGGCCGAACCAATAAGCAGCGATCGCTGCAATTTCCGGCCAACAGAGATGAACCTCACCTCTGCGAATCAAGATTGCAGAGGTCGATGAGCTCGCTGGCAACCAAAGAGAAGCGGCCGGCGACGACGAACACGACAGAGACGACGACGAGCAACTCCCAGATCTGACGACGCCGCAAATCTGACGACGATGAACAAGCCGCTGCTGATGACGACAAACAAGGAACCGATGAACCGATGGTAGAGATCACCAACACCACAACTGCAATTTGAATCTTAGACAAGAAGAACCCAATTACAGATTCTCACGCCCATGATCGTACGCTCTGATACCATGTTCACAGTTATATATATGAGAGGGAGAGAGAAGTTTCAGACTTGTCTATATTCATATACATGAAAAACCTAATAAAGTGTACAAGGCTTATATAAAGAGTACAAGTCTTACTTAACTACACAAAGGCCCCTATCAACATTCTGTAATTACATAATGGCCCAACACTTATATATATATATATATATATATAACATTCTAACACCTCCAATTTGTCAAAACTATTATGCGGCCACATATGACAATGACCATTTGTTCTGTACTTGTTCCTTTGCTAATTTAGTTTGGAGTGCTGTTTTTAACAAGTTGAACATCAATGCTGGCCCTTTCTCCTCCCTTGATAGTTTGGTGGTTTGGTTTTCTCAAGCTACTGCCATAGATTCCTTCAAAGCCAACATCATTGCATCTGTTTTTGCTAATATTATCTGGAAGATTTGGACGCATAGGAATGTTGTTCTACACAATAATTGTCGCTCTTCTGTTGATGCTCTTGTTGTGGAGGTGATTTGGGAGGTGATGCATGTTAGCAAATGCTCACTGGAAGATCTGAAGACTATCTTCTAATTTGTGTTTATGCTGTCATCAGTTAAGCTTCTTTGCTGCTGTTTTGGACTTTATTGGAAATGGGCCTTTTCCATTTTCATTTGTTGAATCTGTAAGAAGGGGGTATGCCCGTCTCTCTTGTACTTCTGTTTTTTTGGTTCTTCTAATTGAAACTAACCCATTCAGGACAAAAAAAAAAAAGGGGTTTGGCTGCATAAATCATTTTAAGTCTAAGAACATAACGAAGGTGCTGAGATGATACACCTGTCACAATGAAGGGCACTTCAGAAAAGACTATCCACAGCATAAGAAGGGAAAAGGTTATTGTAGAGGGTACTGATCCAGATGGTGGCAACGGTCTCGATTTTTGTCTCTTGCGATGAGTGGATTCTTGATTCGGGTTACTCATTTCACACTTCTCTAACCAAGGACCTGACGACCTGTTTACCTCTCATCGGCCCATTGATGGAGGGGAAATTCTTATGGGGAATGATGCACCGTGCAAGGTTTCAAGTATCGGTATTATTCGAATCAAGATTTATGACGACATAGTGAGGACATTGACTAATGTCAGGCATGTACCAAAACTGAGAAAGAATTTAATTTCCTTGGATACACTAGATTCCATTGGGTGCACTTACATGGCTTGAGCTGGAGTCGCTCAGGTTTCAAAGGGTGCGATTGTTGTAATGATGAAGGGATTGAAGAAGCATGGTTAGCACAGTCGCAGGTTCAGTAGTTGTATCATCCTCAGATCCAAATTCATATACTACAAGATTGTAGCATACGCAGCTTGGGCGTATGAATGAGAGGGGATGAATGTTCTGAGTAAGCAGGGTCTGTTTGGTGGTCAGAAAACCAGAAAGCTGGAATTCTGTGAGCACTGTATCTTCAGAAAACAGTGCAGAGTGAAGTTCAGTATGAAAATTCGCAGGACCAAGGGTACGGTGGATTATATCCATTCTGATCTTTGGGGTCCTTAGGTTCCTTCACATGGTGGTGATATATATATGATGACACTACTTGATGACTTCTCTCGGAAAGTTTGGCTACATTCTTAAGGACAAGAATGAGGGTTTTGTCCAGTTCAAGCAGAAGGAGGTAGTTGATTCAGCAAGGGCTCAGGGTGTTAGTGAGCAGGTGGAGCATGTAGAGATTCAATTAGAGGAGAACTGAGAGAGATGCGCATTTGAAGCAGTAGAGTGTGACTAGAGACAGACCTAGGAAGAAGACTAGGCCACCTCAAAAGTATGGGTTTTCACATGATGATTCGGTTGAAGTATGGCTTTTCGCATGATGATTTGCTTGCTTATGCACTTAGTGTGGCAAAGTATATTGATGAGTGGGTACCTCATACTTATTATGAGGCCATCACAAGTGGAGAGTCACGACATGCTGAGGAGATTGAGTCTCTTCATAAGAATTGAACTTGGGAGCTAGTTCAAAAGATTTCTAATTGCTTGTAAATATCTTTAAAAATATTTTTTTGAATTGTTTTACAACTAATTTTATAATATAAATAAGAATACAAGCTTTTGCTCCACACCAACAATGGCTTGTAATCCCTCCTTAATATAAGGTATTCAAATAGTTATATAGCAAATCCATTGAGTATAAACATTTACATATTATGTTATGTTATTTAGTTTACTAATGATATAAGAGTTCAGTGACTAACCACAATATGCAATTGGAAGACTTGATATGGAACGGAAAATACTCAAATGAGTTGAAACCATATAGATATATAAAGAGTAGAAAATAAGAAGACCTTAGACATAAGTACGGAAAGTACTCAAATGAGCTGTAACAATATAGAGATGCATAAAAACTAGAAGACCTACTGGCTGTGTTGGTTTGGGCGATTGTTGCATTGGAATTAGAATTGAAAAAAAATTTAGTTCAAATTTTAAAGTAATTTTCTCCAATTCCAAATTTGAAAGGGTAAAAGAACCCTAATTTGAAATCCCATCAATTGTCGTCCCAAACAATTTCCAAATCCAAATTCCATAAAATCCCTTGGTTACCAGCACATCACAAATATCTATTTCTACCAAAGTAGTACTTACCTTCCTGTTGAACACAATGTTCTTGAGCTCCATCACGATCTTTCCCATATTGTAGCGGCTCTGAGGGAGATAGATGTTGCCGTAGTAACTCCTCCGGTACACCTCCGCGGACAGAGGATCATCGTCCACCTCTTCCACTGCCTTGGTGTGGAGAGAGTTGTCCGCAACCCACAGCTTCAACCCTTGCTTCGGTTTCAAAAATCGATTGAACGCTCTGTTTTTCTTACCTCCGGCGTGACGAAGCTGTTTGGAGCGGGAGTTCGAATCCGAATAGTTCGTCCGAATACCTGATTCGGAATTGGAGTAGGAAGGAGCTAAGGTGCGGAGAGCACCTACAGGCATTCGAGAGAGGAGCTTTGAGTAGATTGTGGCGAGAGGTCTTGATGCCATTGTTGCATCTAGGGTTTTTGGATGTGAGAGAATATGTATTTTTATTAGGGAAAACACACACACATATAAATATATTTCACAATTTGATTCATATGCTGCAAAAATAAAAAAAAATGTGATTCTTGCACAGGGAGGAAATTTTTTTATTTTCACTTTACCCTTTGGAAAAACTCTTTAACATCCCAATCTTCTCTGTCAAGTGTCTCTCCCCCAAGAGTGATCGGCCATGCGCGCCAGGCAGGTTTCTTCATTCCCACTGCACCACCCCCATCAGATCAGACCCAGTCCACCACACCCATATCGTCGTACCCTCCGGTCTCTGATATCTCTTCGTCGGGCAGTATTAGTTTCAATACGTTTTCCGAAATTGTATGATTATTATACAGAAGTGTTACGCCCTCAATTATATTTTATTTTTGAATTGGATCAGTTTGGGTTTCATCACTATTGCAAATATTTGTGCTTTTTTATTTGGTATAGATCCGATTCTGTCAAATATATAGCGTCCGCATATGTAGACTTGCGTGTCTTGTTTTGTACGTGAGCTTTATGCTGCTTTTTTATACTATGAATATAGGGCCAGATATTGTTGAAAGAACAATGCTCTGGTTCCCCTTTTCCTTCACTTCCTCTCCCTGTGGAGGTCTCTGCTCCTTTCAACGTTGCAGTTTCTCTGTTCATCAGAGTGGGTTTTCTTTGCCATCTCACGTCCCTCGTTTCTGTGGGTAGTTCGCGTCGCTTTTTCCCTTTGATCCAGGAATTGTGTTCATTGTTTGTTTTTTCGTTCTAATTTTCTCTCTATGTTGTGTTGGTATCTGTTGCGTATCGGTGTTGGTTTGGGTTTCTCCGGGTCAATCTGTGGTTGGCGATGAGGCTCCACTGCGAGCCTTGGTCTATGGGGCTTGGGCACTTCCCTGCCATATCCACCTCAGCACTGGTACTTTTGGTCTTGCCGAGGATGACGTCTATCCGATTTGGAGTTTACCACTCTTGTTTCTGGTTGGTTATGGCCCTGCGGTTATCACTCTTGGGAGCCCTCTAAATAATACTTCCTGCAAGGAAGCCCATTGTCACGCCCCGCTTATGGAGGTTGTGCCACGCAGACGACACGCAAACGCTGAGGAGGACGCTGCATGGCAAGTGAAGTTTCTAGAGTCTTCCGGAATAGTCTAGAGTTATGTGAAAGATTCTAGATATGTGTAGAAATGTGTAGAAGTGTGTGGAAGGTTCTAGAGTTCTCCAGAGTTTTGTGGAGTAGTATGGAGAATTCTAGAATGTTGTAGATACTAGTAGATAAGTATGGAATTGTGAAGAAGGTGGGAGAAGATTCTAGACAATCAATCTCCACCGTTGGTTAGAATGCATCCTAACCGTCCATTAGGGATGGGGATGCCTATAAATAGAGGTAGGACTTCATTTTGTAGGGAACAAGTCCTAGAGTGAGTCTTGAGAGCCTTGTAGAGAGTTCGAGTGCTAGCCTTGTACAAAGCATTCTTTGAAGTAATAGAAGTGTTCTTTCCTTACCAACTTAAGTGCCTTAGTGTGTGTGAGTGTGCAAGCCAAGTGAGAAGAGGGCGAGGGCCACTACAACACTAGTAAGCGCACGAGGGGAGTGTGTTGGCTAAGGTGTGCACGGGAGTTAGGCTGACCAAGTCCTTGCGAGAGTGGAAGCAACGTCTTGGTGCCGCACGGGAGTAGCTAGAGTGGTGCTGAAACTCTAAGCCCGTGACACCATGCTCCTCACTGGTTTTCTTTAGGCCATGCCATTCCTTCTCAAATCCCTTTGCGGGATAATGCTCAATCGCTGCCATCTTGGTCTTTTCGGATGCTGTCTTGCCCTCCCGGTGGCCTCCGCTTATGGTGTTTTCCGCTGAGGATGGCTTCCTCTTGCATTCTACTGCCGTCGTTTCGTTGGCGTTTGCTTCCCGGTTGGTGTGCCGAGGTGGTTCCGGCTTTTGGTTCTTGTGGACGGGCATCTTTCTACGTGGCTGTGTTTGGATGGGCCTGCTGTCCACTTTTTGTTCATGATCTGGTGGGATTTCCGTGGTCTGCGTGGTGTCCACATCTTTTTGTTCCGACTGTTCTGATGGTGCATGGGAGGAATGCATTTCCACATCTTTGTGTTGCAATCTGTAGGCCACATCAGTAACCTCCTTTATGCCACATCATTTTTGGGTTGGGTAGTTGGTTGTGTGTGTTGTATGTTGGGTTTGTGTGTTTTGTGTCTGTTGTGTCGTAGATGCCGTATGTTTTTGGTCTTTGTCAATGAAAAAAATAAAAAATAAAAATAATGTTGGGATTCTATTATCAATTACTTATTTTGCACTATAAACTGAATTGAAGTATATAATTATGTGATTGCCCCTCCACTGCAATTTAATTTGAAAATGTTTCATGCGACGTTTCTTCTCTTTGTGAAGGTCTTATGTTGGAGCGTCTTTTAAGGAGTTCAGGAGTGCAGATACAATAATTGGGGCAAAGATGTCTGAGGTTTCTATTTAAACTTGAATACATTATTCTTCTATTTTTAACAGTTAAAACTTCATTTTCCTTTTCCTTTTTCATGCGTTCGGACCCTATGTTGTAATGTCTCCTATAATCTCTCCTGCTGCAGTGATGGTTTTTCAACACGTTACGCCTACTTTTAAATTCGTTTCAATCAAATTCTAGAGCACAATAACTGCAGATAAAGATGTGTGACTAATTCTAAATAAGAGAATACTCGAAATGATTTCTTGCCACCACAAGACTGGTTTTGTCATTGAGTTCATGCTGATGAATGGTTTGGCTCGATTATGGATTGGGTTTTGGAGGTAAAATTCTCGTTGAAGACAAGTTTCCTTTTGTAATATTTTTTCTTATCCGAACTCGTAACATCTTCGTTGCGGTCAGACCACTCTGCCTACCCAGGTAGCACACTCGGACACCTTCAGAGTTGGGCGCTTGGCGTGGCACCGGATTAAGGACTCAACCTGACTCTAATACTAACGGTAACATGTGGACGTTTGTCTATTAATTCAAAAAATTGAGCTATTGGGTAGTGTTGTATACCCACCCATTTATACCCATTTCACTCTTCATCCGAATCCGATGTAAAACAAATCTTTCCTCATAACATTAACCGCAATTGCGCTTATTCATAACATTGGTTCCAATTGGAATTATAAATATTATTAAGACATAATAAATCAAATATCAAGATGTCCATTTTTTATTTTGACAGTCAACGTGTCCATTAAAAAGGAAAATGGAAAAGAAAACATAGGATGATAAAATATAAAATTGGGGTAGAAGTTACAAAAGATAATAAAATATAAAATTGGGGTAGGAGTTCTTTTATGAGGACAAAAACAGTAGCCAAGTAAAAGTTCTGTCTTGGTCTGAGTGGGGATAGCATTTCTCTTCTGCATGTCCATGGAGTTTTGAAAAATCCAAACATCTCAGAGATACAGACAAAGAGGTAGGAATTTATCGAACGAACCGCACTCCTTCGTATATGTTAGGAGTCCATTGATGAGAAGGGGCTAGGGAAAACTTGAACCTAATTCCTACATTGATGAATATAGAGCGCAATTGAATTTCTTGGGGAGTTATACATTTGTGTATTGATAAGACCATTCACTATTTCTTGAATCTTGATCTCTCCCCGGGATGAACCATATAGCCAAGAGAACCCATGAACCAGAATAGAAGAGCTTGCTCCACCCATGAGTAAATATTTAATAGTAGCCCTCATTAGACCGTACATTTTTCTTGGTATATTCAGATAATAGGTAGGAGCGTAAACTGAAACATTTTGGGGCTACAGAGACAGTTATTAAATCGTTAGCACCACATAAAAACATTCCTCCTAGAGTAGCTGGTAATACGAATAAGAGAAACTCTGTTATAGCCATTTATGTACATTCAATGTACTCTATGGATAGAGGAATACATAGAGTTTAACATAGTAAAATAAGAAATTGATCAGGGATGCTCCATTTGGGCTTGTCGAGTCCACTTACTAGTCAACGGACTGGTTAGAGCATTAAACAAATTGGCAGGCCCAGCCCAGCCCACTTTCAAGCTTTCTGGTGGGCAGTGGGCTTCGTTCGGCTTTTTAAACATTTTAATATTAAATCTTTCAATTTATTTTTGGGTTAAAATAATAAAATTTTTATTTAGTTTTCAAAATCATGCATAAAATTTTCAGTATAATTAAAAAATCTCATGAACTAACAAAATTCATCAAGTTACCATTAAACATGTGACCGATCCATTAAATGTATTATAAAATATCAAACGTAACCTTATTATTTAATATTAAATTAAAAGTTATAGTTATTATTTTACTCAAAATTGAATAAAAATTTAAAAAATTCATTGTACTTTTAATTAGAAATAAATAAGTATATGATTATAAAAATATATAGAATAGAATGGAAATTCAAATTTGGATATAAACTCCAAAAATTCCTTATACTTTTTTTTTTTCTTAGCTTTCCACTGACCCATTGGTAAACTCTAAAAATTCCTTGTCCTTTTAATAATAGTATATATGTAACACGACACGATATAAATACATGTCAACGTCAAGTTTTTAAAAAGTAAGATACGAGTACGGCGTAAAATGTTGATTATTTTTAACTATATATAAATATAAATTTTTAGTTATATACATTTATTGATTAATAATATTATAAAATGTTGATTATTTTCTAATTTCTATACTAACAGTTGCTTTGAAATGATGCAAAAGATAAAATTATATCACTATTGTATTATATATAAAGAGAGGTAAGTGCAAAAAAACACTCTTAATGAATACTCCTGCAGTACTTTTACCCTTATTTGAAAAATTGTGCAAAAAATATCCCTATTTTTTTTGCACATTGTGTGGAAACACCCCTCAATGAAAAATCTAACATAAATTAGTATTGTAATACTAGTTATAGTAGGCATAAAAGAGCTAAATGAAATATGTTCTTTTTATACATATGTTTATAAAGCATTTACCTAAGTTTCCGTTTTTGCAAGATAAGAGGATAAGCAAAAAGTTCAATTGAAAACTTTTGATTCATCATCTGTGACATCTACCCATACCGTGATTCCAACCAACGGATTCGTTGAACAACTCTTGGGTAAACTATTAATAATAAGAACCCTGTTTTGTCTTTTTACTCTTCTGAAAATGCCCAGAGGGGGTGTATGCTAATAATATCATGCCCAGATGGTGTGTATGCAAATAATATCATAGTATAAGGGTGTTATGTGTATATTAAATATTTTGTTTCTTCTTTTCTTTTATTTTTTTATTTTTTTATTTTGAAATTTTTTCTCACTACTCTATGGTGAATCAATGGACTAAACAACTTACTCCTTAAATTTTTACACACATACAAAATTTTACTTTCAAATTCATTTTCCCTTCTTATTTGAAGCTTTTGGTGGCCATACCGGTATGTGATGTGTTCATGTTGGTGCATGGAACAAGTTTAAAGGTGGACAAGGCTTGCATTCCGGTAGTATGATCTGAAGTGAAATCATGTCCACTAGCAGAGCTGCTGATTTTTTTAAAAAATTGTTCAGCCTAATCAACACAATACCGACTAGTACTCTCTATTTAACAAGAGTGGAGAACTATTAGAAAGTCAACGTACCAAATGCGACTCAAGTGATATACTCTTGTTAGCATCACGTCGAGATTATATCCGAAGCAACCCTCACCCGAGGGGTTTGTCTTGCCCCCTTTAGCTTTTCTCTTTGATTCTGATTTGTGTCTTTTCTTCTGCTTCAAATATTTGTTTACAGACAATGAAATAAAATAAGATCAAGAATAGTACTCCATTATATAAATTCATTGTTTATACCGATGCAGCTTGAATGAGTTTTGTTCTCTCGAATCTCTCCTTTCAGCCTTTCTCCTCATTCAAATCCACCAAATTTTGGGTGAGTTCAATAACAAAAATTAAATTGCCGTCCTGGTATTGTTTAACTTGTGGACATTGAATAAGATTTGTCCAAAATTATATTAGGCTTACCATTATTGTAATCAAAAGTTATTTGCATAAAAAATAAAATAAAAATTATCCACCTCATGATTCTTGACTGCTTATCACTAGCGTGTAATACTTTCAATTAATAAATAGATTATTGTTGGGTATTACATTATTATTTTTTAATAATATTACATTTAATTACCGGTACAAGGCAAATCGTAACATAACACACTTACATTTCAAATATATTATTCAATGCGGAGTAATAACTAATAATTATAAATATATGAATATATATATGAAGATAAAAAAAATGATAGGTCTCTTGATTTCAATTATTGATTTATTTTTCAAATATAACGTGGTTGATTAGATTATATTAAATCTCTTAATACAAAATTACGTAAACATTTTTTTTTTTGACTCATTTTCAATCGTAAGGATAAATATTAAAATCAAGAGAGTTAAAAAGGTCATTCCGTGAAAACTGAACGGGCAGTGGCGGTGAGTGGTTGAATTTGAAGGCGGGTGATGTGATGGGCGATGACAGATCGTCGTTAATCGTAATGGCGAACAGAGAAAGAGATCGAGAGCTTCTCATTCCAGTCGCCGACTCCGTTAGCGATGAACCCTCTTCCAAGCCTTCAACCCCTGCCTCTTCTTCTCATCACTCCGGTCGTGAGGTCCCTTTCTCTCTCTCTCTTAACATATATGTATATGCATATAATTGTATGATTAGCTTTTCTAAACTATCGTTATTATTTTTAGGGTTTGGAGAATTGATTGATCTAATTTATATGTCTGATTTCGATGTGTTGTTTTTGGTTTATGCTGATTGCTGCGGATTGGAAGATATTTTTGTTGATTATAGTTACTCGTTATCTAATTTTGGCACGCAGTACGTAGTTGAGTAATCGCGTTCTTGACAAAGGTGAATGAAGGAACATTATAGAGAAAAAACCTGGAGAAAAAACTTTTTCTATGCATTTTAGGTTTTAATGTTTTAGCACGTTGCCCGTTTGATCAATTTGAGTTTGGTTTTTGTTGTTGTATTTATTGTTAGCATATTCAATTCATGTTTAATTTCTATGAATTTAATACGTAGTTTTACAGCTTCTCTACAACACAAATGCCATTTTGTTTTTGTGATTATGCCACTATTTCTTTTTTCTATTTGAAACTCATACACGCACTTTACTGGGACTAGAACCCTTGGCCTTCTACCATTGAAGGTGAAGAGTAGCACTAGGTTGCAGCCCTGGCTGTTGGACGTGATTATGCCACTGTCTTACCACACAACCACCTAATAGACAATTTGTTTTAGCTGAATTTACATGACTAGGGTTTTCCTGGATCCTAATGCGGCATAACTCCAGGTTTACATTTTTTTCCCTTCTGCATATGTATATGCTTTTGCACATTTGTGTATATATATACATATATCTTTTTAGGGTATTTTTCTGACAAATGTTTTTTTGCCATATTGTCACGTGTAGACCTTTTACAAGGTTATTAGGAGCTGGGCTTCAAAGAAGTTCATGACTGGATGGTGCGTTCTCTTTGTCATTCTCTTAATTCACAAAGTGAAATATTGCTTATTAAAACTTCTTATTTTTCTATTTTTACGTTGACTTAATGTCTGTCAATTAATTATTTTGCTGAGTTTTTGGTGATTTGAACTTTGTATGGTTTTTGTATGCTTCATGTCTGATATGGTTTATGCCCCAATTTTTTTGGGGCCTATGGTGATTTTTCAATATATGGAAGGAATAAAAGAAGAAGAAAGAAATAAAGAAAAAGGGATCTTTGGAGCAAAAGAAGAAAAGGAAAAAAATAAAGATTAGGGATTACACTTGCCTGAGGATGAGTCATTAAGAGCCATTTGAGATGAATTATAAAATGCATTGGAAAATTATTATGCTCTACATCATAATAATATGAACTGTAAAAAAATGTATTATTTTCTCCCCTGGCACTAGTACAAAATCTTTGACTCCATGAAGATCGCCCCATTTCTTGAAGAATGGCTACTTGTTAATTGAGCTAGTTAGCATTTGCCTACTTGTTAACTTTGCCATAGGGTAGATTGGTAGAACCACCTCCTCTCTCTCTATCTGTCCATGGATAAATTTTGTGTTGTACACTGATCTATCCGGAGTCTATGGACCTGGCGCAAATTTGTGGCAGTTATTCCTTGTACCAAAAAATGTAAAGAAAGAAAGATAAAGTAGAATTTGAAAGCTAAGGGCGCTTACCTTTTATATTTTGGATGATTGAGTGCTTTCAAAATGTTATGACCCCTGAATAAGCTGCATAAATATACTTTTTGGATGATAAAGTCTATCAGGTTTCCATGTTAGATATTTTAGAATCGATTTTAGCTAGAGCAAGCATTTGTTGCTTTATAAGATTGCAATTTTACTTGCTGGAAGTATTATCTTCGCAGCTGCTAGTTCTGATGTGAGCACACTGTGTAGGGGATTGAAATTAATTGAATTTCATAGGTTGAAAGCAACTGATTATTAAAATTGGACAATACTTGTTGGAAGGAGGCAGGGGAAATAAAAAATGATGCCAACAACAATGGTCCATCAAAAAATTAGTAATGGTATGAGAAAAAGGAAAAGAACTCGAGTCAGAGAAGAAAGCATCCCAATCCGACTTTATCAAAAGAAAAAAAAGAAAAAAAAGAAAAGAAAAGAAAAAGAAGCATCACAATCTGTTCAGATTTTGGGTGAGAACTCAATATGTGCAGCATAATAGTAGAAACCATTCATTAATGGAGTGTCATTACGAAATCTATATGGGTTAATTATTAACTCACCTGGAATGAACTGTAATCTTAAATTAAACAAATCTTGACCGTTCTTTGTTACCTAATAAAATATAGATTAATAAGATACAAAATTTGTTTAAAAACCATGATGATAAGTTACACAGTTTTGTGATAAGGAATTTTAACAGTTTGTTTGGCAAACTATGTTGTGCTGCAAAATTACTACAATGTTGGCCAAAGTAACCAACCATGGTCACATGTAATCGTCTATTACCATCGTTTCCACCAATTTAAAGCTTCTTGCTAGTAAATTTGCCTTCTTTTGGTTCTGCTGTAAAATTTTAGTAGTTGATTCCCATGGTATTGGAATTTCACTTGGAAAATTATATATGTATCTTTTCTTTACAGAATTGTAGTTTGCAATTTAAACTAAAATTATCAGTGTTGATAATTTGTATTTTGCACTCAGCTTTGTGCTTGTGTTTTGCTGTTGTAGTTATTGATTACACTCACCCCTTTTGCAGTGTCATCCTATTTCCAATAGCGATCACTTTCTATGTAACATGGTGGTTTATTCATTTTGTGGATGGCTTTTTCTCTCCAATTTATGCTCAACTTGGAATTAACGTCTTTGGTAAGTATATCTATCTTTCAGCCACTAGATTTTTTATTCATTTATTCCTTTCAATTATAAAGTTAATGATGTATAAATTATTTGTTCGGAATTAAATTTCAGTACAAAGTGACTTCATGTAGTCTTGTTGTCTTGCCTCGATAAAGAATTTATAGTTTGCCCATAAGATACTTCATTTAAATTTGTAGACATGGAGATATTTATTGCATAGGGAATTTTTTATATCTTTAGCATCTTGAAGAGTTGTCTCTTATTTACAGTTGGTTATTCAGAATGAATTTTATGATATTCTCACTGCCACTGTTTCCCATCCTCATTCATTGTTTTGGACATAATAATCTTACCGATAAGATCATCGCATGATTTACTGTTCCTAGTGAAAAGAATTAAGGGGCCACAAAGCTAACGTTTCATGCACACAGCTCTCTTCTTTGCAGTAATTCTTCATTCATTCACTGAAAATATGAAGGTTCAAAGAACCTAAACTAGAACCATTTGAACATCTATATACATGCAAAATTGTGTTGGTTTTTAGGCTTTCTGTATCAGGGAATATTAGGGGTTAACAGATCAAACAAGGTAATAGGGTAAGCAGTTGCAAAGCAAGTAAAATTTTATTCCAGGGCACGACTTTGGGTTTTTTGCATACTGGCTTAAGGTCAAATTACTTCTAGAACTATTCTATTTTGTGCTTCTTCCTTGAGAGTCTAAGCGAGAGATCCATGAGAACTGTAGTGTCCGGGGGGATAAAAGACGGGGTTGATTGCTAAAGAGGCTTTGAGAATTTTGAGGGGGGCAACTACTGAAGAATACATATACGGAAATCAAAATTAAAATAAATGAGTGGCTATTGAGCTTCATGTGGCATCGTCACTGAGGGCAAGGGGTTATAAATCATTGTATTTAAGCCTTTGGTTCAGGTTTTGGTAAATAGTCGAGAATGGCCAAACCTATAGAATAAAAATATTCAGCAAAACAAGAAGGAAATTAGAGAGTGTACCCTCCTCCATGAGGGCTTGATCAATAAACCACTCAAATTTTTGGAAGGGTTTTTATACTCCTATAATCAAGGGGATCTATTCATTAATATCCAATCTCGTTTTACGACAAGGGACTTACTTGTACATGCTAGCTAAAAAACCGGAAAGACACTTGTGGGCTTTCTAAAATTTGGCCCAGTCAATGTTGTAACTGGATAGAGCTCAAACTACATCAGAATAGAAAGTTTCTAAGCTACTTATGGGCAAGTCTGTTTGATATTTTCACTCACTCGTGCTTCTTCATTAGGTCTTGGTTTTGTTACTTCCATAACATTCATCTTCGTGGTTGGGGTGTTCATGTCATCATGGTTGGGGGCATCCATTCTGGGCCTCGGAGAGTGGTTCATCAAACGTATGCCATTTGTTCGTCATATCTACAATGCCTCCAAGCAAATTAGTGCCGCCATATCTCCAGGTAATTTTCCTTTTCCCATATATTTATCGAATGGATGTTGTAGCTAGATTGTTGATGTTCTTATTTAAATATTATTGCAGATCAGAACAAACAGGCATTCAAGGAGGTGGCCATCATAAGGCATCCACGTATTGGTGAATATGCATTTGGATTCATCACTTCATCCGTTGTCCTTCAGGTCTGCATAAATGATTGATTTTTTTATTTTTGTTTGTATTTTTTAGTAGGTAAGACTCACTCACACACCCACATTGTTCCAACCGAAGCTGGAACCGTCAACTTCCTCCTTGGGAGCTGAAGTGTATACCACTCAGGCTAATGTTTGGTGGTAAAAATATTGATGTTCTGATACTATTGTCAACTCAGTTGTGTGTATCTTGTTTTTAGTTATTGTAGAACTATTATCATCTCATATTTATGTTAAACCACAGAGTGAACATGCTTGTTGTGTTAACTAGGAAAAAAAGAACATGCTTGTTGTGTTCAACTCTGGGAACCTGGATTGTTGCATTGCTTAAAATTTTACCAGAATTTATTGAGCAATAAAAAATTTTAGTGCCAGATTTTCAGTTAATAAGAAAGCACATTCACTTTTGATTCTTGTCATTTTGAACTATAATGACCAGATTTTGTATGTTTTCCCCTGTCATATGTTCAACTGCTTTTGCTTGTGTGTGTGTCCATGCACTAGTTTTGTGTGAGTTAAGAGGGTCATTGCTCAGGATGGTCTTCGTTAATCAAGAGTGCCAGGAGGGGTAGACTACATACAGACCTACCTTTCACATTATTTGCAGCTCTCAGGATTCTAGCCTGCATCCTCATGCCTGTCATCCTTTTCAGTAGTGCACCAAACAATGGTCCCTGAGATTTGCATATGAGTTATGCATCATAAATTCACACTGCACATAAATGTGTGGTATGGATGTTGTTTGTTATGCTCAACTATTGAGTGGTACTAGTGGTGGTGCTTCCATTTTAGTCTGAATTTTGTAGGCTTGGTTTTCTATTAACCTATTTAAAGGTTGAGAGCATTTACCCCTTGCATGCCAGACAGATGCTTGTTTTTTCTGGTTTCCCACCAGAAAATAACTATATGAGGGGTCCATTTACTGCTGGGTTGAATTAATGTTACATTTTGGTTGAGCCTCATATTTGGAGGGACGTGTGATTCAACACAAGCCTCCCCTCTCCAAAGCATATATAGATATATACACATGTGCGCATGTGTGTCTATACACATATTGATGGTGCAGCACTAACAACTTCCAGCTTTCGAATAACCTCATAAGCCATCTGTGAGTATCTTTTACTATAATTGACCGGCACATGCCTCCCATCTGATTGTATCATCTTCTCAATTAGTCTCTCTTGTTCTGGCCGTCTTCACCATCTTAAATTTATTTCTTTAAATATTTTTGATTTCTTGCTCAGTTGAGACGAAATTTGGTGTCTCAAGTCTGATGCTTTGTATGTGGTATTGGGTTCAGAAGAGACGGTTTTTCTTGACCCTTATTCCTCGGTGTTTAACTACTATAAGTAATGATCTTTGGTTGCTCATGTGAAGTCTGTTCAGGAAATGGGAGCATGTGGCCCTTTTTTTTTTATTTTTTATTTTTATTTTCGTAAATTTTTTTGTGTGTGTGTGTGGAAACCTGTGAATATGGCAGGTTTATCTTATTGGTTGATTATCAGACTTCATTAGCATTGGAATCCTTAACTATTTATTTCCTCAAAATCCAGAGTGATATAGGAGAGGAGGAGCTATGCTGTGTTTATGTTCCCACCAACCATCTTTACATTGGTGATATATTCCTGGTCAATTCCAAGGATGTTATTAGACCAAATTTACCAGTTCGGGAAGGAATTGGTAAGAATTTGTTTCTCTTTTGGTACTTTAATGAATTTACTTTTGTATGTAACCTGATTTTGTCATATAAATGAAGAGGAAAATTGTGTTCAGTTTCAATCAGAGCCCATTTAATCATCAGCTTATTGGGGTATCATCATGTCTACATTTTTGTTTGGCAGAAATTGTTGTGTCAGGAGGTATGTCAATGCCCCAGATCCTCTCAACCCTGGATTCAGGAAATATTCAAGTGGACAGAAGTAGGCCCGACAGACGCTGAGAGTGAAGACATTTTAATGTAGTGATTTGTTTCACCGTCTCCTGTATCAGTTTTTGTCATCCTAATGGCCTTGTGATCATATTAGGAATCTGCCAACGGGTTTTGGTTTTTTGATGGTCGAGTGTTGGATTCTGATGGCATTTGTAGCATCCGTTTTCATGTAAAATATACGTCCTTGGAAAATAGTTGGTTTATATTACCAGTGAAAGGGGCTTTGGCATTGGGTTGTGTTTTTCCCGAAAGTTAATTTTACTTTTACCTTTTTGCTGTTACGGATGTTACTAATATCTCTTTAGTGTTCCAAAATGGACTTTGTAGACAAAAAATAGTAGCAACTCTGGTATATATTTGTCTGATTGAACTAGGTTATACGAAGATTTATATAGCAAGCATGTTATTATGGTCCATCCAATGGTGTAGCATTGCAATTGATATTTTGTTTTTGTTTTTTTTCAAGTTAGAATTCATTATCAGGAACAATTTTTTAAAGGTGGGAAATAAGCCCAAGTATGTTACCTCACAAGTTGGGATGTATCATTTACAAGATTACTTATTTTTCATGAAAATAACTTGATAAAAAAGTTTGAAAGAAGCAAATGGTTATATCATTATATTAGGACTAAAAAATATATATTTTAAAAAGATGGAGAGAATACCTATTAAACTCCGTTTGGTTCTAGTAAATATTTGATTATGATAGAAAATTTTATATTATAATCTAGATACTTAAATTGCTCTTGTTTTATAAAATATAGTAAAATAATAATAATAATAATAATAATAATAGTAATGTATATAAAAAAAAAATGACGGAATTAATTGACCTAGAAAAAAAACAGTGTTATTAGTCTTCAAATATGGATGAAGTTACTGGGTACAATAATATCAATGAACTTGTTAAATAAAATAAGAATTCAAAATAAAAACAAAAATTTTATTTTCTCTATTTGAAAAAAAAAATAGTGGGTTACAAAAAATTTATTTTCCCTATTTGAAAAAAAAAAAAAATAGAAGGATACAAAAATTCTATTTTTTTCTATATATTTCCTTTTCTATCTAACAAAATTTTCCCCTTTAAAAAAAAAAAAAAAAAAAATTACAAAAATCCTATTTTTTCAATCTATTTCCTTTTCTATGTAACCTATTATCTCTAAATTTCATAGGTCCTCAAAACTGTGGGGCCAAGTGCTACAACGCACACGGCGTCTGATGGTAGAATCCAGCTGGCACGAGAAGAAACCCTAGCTCCCAGATGCCTCTATATAACTACAAGCGTCACTCTGGCTTTTTCAGAGTTAGGGTTTTATGCGTTTGTCCCAAGTTAGGGTTTTGATGGTAGACGAGGTCAATCGCCTCTCTCGCAGGTCTGTTCCTGGCCTCCCTATTTCTCTCTTTTCACTCACAATGGTATGCACAGTCTTGTGTAATAGATGTACGAGTGGCTAATTTACTGCTAATTTTTTTGGCTTTTCTTTGTAATATCAATCATATGTTTGAATTGGAAATTAGTTTAGTATTGGATGTGGATCTGAGTTTAAATCTACCAATTTTACTACTATTGTTTTAGATATATTGTATATGTTCGTATATGGTCTGTTTAAAAAATGGAGGTACTATGATGATATATTGTGATAAGGTCTCGTTCGTCGTAACGGCAGATATGCCTTGCCGACCATCCTGATATATCACCACCCATAAACTGAGTCCTCACATTCTTTATTTCATATTTTTTATTATTAATTTTTTTTTTTTTCTAATATTTTTAGCTGCGTGGCCGATGATTATACGAAAAAAAATTGACAAGCATATGTCTGAAACATATTGTGTTGATTATATAATCTTCTCTATGAGGCCAAATTGATAGATAGTATTGTCTTTGTTGTATTTATGTAATGTTAAAAGTTATATATAATTTTCCTATGATGAAGGAGAATTTATTGTCATCTGATAAATTATGATTACAATCAAATCTACTGCCTTCCTTCTGAGGTTCAAATTATTTTTCTCATTTAACAAATGAATATCTATTTTATTTTTGTTAATTTGTTTTTGTTTTTGTTTTTGTTTGTTAAGGGTGTGTGGTCATGTGATGAATAGCATAGTTCAACTGATAATCTTTGTGATTATAAAATTTGAATGTCTTTCGCTCCTATCTGATGACCACCATTTTGCCTAATTAATAATTGATTTAATCCTTCATTCTATTGTCTATTTGTGTATGTTAATAGAAAAACTGGATTTTGTTTTTTAAACGAGTGGTGCTATTCTAAACGATGACGATGAGTGGTAGGGAGTAGCAGTCGTCGAACCGAATGGCTTCATTTGGTCCCATAAATCAGAGAACTCCGGGCTGGGACATAGGTCATCGTGATTTTGGAGCACAAAACTTAAAATTCCTTTATTATTTTCTAAATGCTGCCGTGGTTGGTCATGGCAGGTGTATTATTGGAGCAAGCGAAGACTATCCCTATGGAGTGTACTCCTACATGTTCTACAAAGGATCTGATTTCTGAATACTGAGAAGGCTAAAGCCTAAAGCTTCCCTAATTGGGAGCAAAAAAGGCCACTATATGGTATGCATATGGATAATACAACCCGGTAAAAATTCAATTTTGCAAACAAATTTGAATACTAAAAAATTAAAGTGTTTATAACTGAATAATAAATTTGGTGAAAAAATTAATTAAATGTGATAGTGTCTGTATTTTTAATAGTAAAAATAATGACTTTAACGCTATATATTTTTTAATTTTGTTTGTTCAAATGTAAATATTAGTTTTTTATTAGGGTGTTATCAGAATTTATATGTGATTTTCAATTTTTTTTCTTACTTCGCCCTTGAACGGTCTGATTTCGGCTTCTGTAATGGAAAATGTAACAAACAGCAATAATACATAATTTAGAATTTGATAGAGATCGAAAATGAAAAAAAAAAAAAAAAATCAATGAAAAACATGTCTATTAACTGGAAAAAATGATCCTCTAAATATTTTTTGATATCTTTTATATATTGTCAGATTTATGAAGGATCGGATAATATTTGAGGGATTCAAGGTTCGGCTGTTTAAATATGTTCCTTATGGTCAAGAATTTCATTAATTTTTCAGTAACCATATCTGTCTCACAAAAATACACGCTACTATTTACTTATTCTTAATTTTTGTACATTTAAACTTAATGTGTTCTAAATCTAATTCTCTCTCACACCATTTTAAGCGATATTTTAAAAAAGGATAATTTTAGAAACAATGTCCTTGGGGATAAACAACTTAAAAACGAAAAATTAAAGAAGTTAGATTTAAGAATTGTATATATAAAGATTACATATTAAACAATGAATGAAATAGTTTGAGATAATTAAATTAGGATTTGATTTGCATTTTTATAAATATTTAATTTTTTTAATTTTTATTATTTTTTATTTTAGAGACACTTGTAATTTTATTTTTGTGCCTCATCAAGCCTAAGTATAAATTTTCTACTTACTCATAAATAAACAAGTATTGCCCTAATTTCTTGACGTTTGACGCAGGAGCAAAATACCTTACTGAAATGTCAAAGTTAGCAAATCAATACGTAGCGATTTACCCCAATGTGACTTAAGGCAGCCCCTTGAAGCATGTGACTTGTTTTACCAATATTGCCATTCATTATTCTATAATGCCAATGTTAGCAAAAGGTTTTCGTTGGAGAGAACATATAAACTTGAATTTCATAATCTGATTGTATTTTGTTTATTTTTCTTTTTTCCTTGAATTGATAAACTGAATTTTTATTTTTGTGTATTGAATTTTATCATTTGAATCAACACTAATAATATATTTGTTAGTTTTTTTTTAAATGGATCATCATACCAAAACTCGAATGTACTAATAAAATCGGTAATGATCACTATGTAATACTAAGGTTGACCATGTGTTCACTTATTCGTTTGATCAATGGAGCAGTCACTAAATAAAAAATGATGAAGTTAAAAAATAAGGAACTAGCTGCACCAAAAAAAAACATTATTGCCCCCGGGGCGTAGCTGTGATGGTTGGAGCTTGGCGCGCGTGGCACAGGTTTGTAACTTGGGGTGGATCCCTACGGGGCCCTAAAAAAAGTCATTACTGACTAACTACCAAACAAATGCAACAGAACCAACACTTACTGAATAACAAATATTATTGCATTAATTTAAAATAGAGGTCATATTGAATAGTAACACACACACGGCCATAACTGATAGTAGAACTTGAACAAAAAAATACTCGTTTCTTTTTTGAAGGTGAAAAATAAATATTAAGTCTTCCCATTGCACCAAAAATAAACTAGAATACAAACAAACAACACATGATGAGAGAAAGATACATATATGTAGACATATATACATATAAATTCAAACATGGTCAAGTTGGGGGAAATGGTATGAGTTTAACAAATGAGGGTGTTTCCGTATTTTTTTATTTTTTTTAAAAAAAGTAAATTAAAAAGGATAATTTGGTCATTGTACAATGAAGTCAACATGAAAGCTGCACTTTGCTTAGTTTTGAAGCTAGAGAGACTGATTTGCTCACTTTGATACTTGAGGTGGGTATTTTGACCCTTTGTAAAACTTCAAGTTGTTTATTTATTTATTTATTATTATTTTTTTCACTTTTGCCTTTTATATAAATATTTAAGATAATATTTATTTAGAATGAAAATTTAAATCAAGAATGAAAGACTAATACTATCTCCTTTCCCTAGGATATGGTAAATAATTCGTGAATCTGCGAATCAAATCCGATTCGATCGGTTCGGATTGTTACACGCACGAATCGGTGACAAAATAATAAAAAATTAAATTCGTAAAATCCGATCAGTAAGATTTATATATATATATATATATATATATATATTCAAATAATGTATTAGTTAATTTAATTAGTTGATGATTATTTAATGGACTCTAAAAATGTATTAGTTAATGATCATTTAAATATATGAATTAATGGTGATAAATTTAAATTTTATCTATGGTTAAAAATAAATAATATTAGATTATTTAAGAAAAACTTCAATCTGCATATCCAATCTGTCATACAACGGATCTGATTGATCCGATCATGAATCATGACGGATTCAAAGTTTTCCAAACTGTTGGGATCCAATCCGAATTGTGGCCACCCCTACTCATCCCATAAAAACTGTTCCTTTGGAACTTTACTTTTTAAAGTATATATTTTAATATATGTTTTTTTTATTTTATTATAGTGGTAGAAAATAAATTTTTAAATATTAGACTCACATGCTTTTATAACTTCAAGACAATTATGGTAAATTTAAAATATTTTAAAATTAGTACATTAAATTTTGAATTTGAAACAATTATTTTGAAACAAAAAAGAAAAGATGAATACCTTATTCAAAATTACATTAAATTTTGAATTTGAGACAATTATTTTAAAACCAAAAAGGAAAGATGAATACCTTATTCAAAAATTTCATCTATGCATCTTATTTATTTATTTATTTTAACGAATCTATGCATCTTTTGACTAACATTCTCCTTTGGACTTTTTAGATATGAAAATCTTATTCATACATTTATTGGTCACTTTTTTTTTTTTTAATTACGTTGTTTAATCAACTTATTTGTTTTGATTCACAATAGCATTATATAAATATATATATATATATATATTTCCTCCTCCCCAATATATATTACAAGAAAAATAATAGTTACTACTAAGCAATTGATAGCATACAAGTGAGATTCATGAGCATCATGATTCATATGAAAGAGAGTCATGGTTCATATCTAAGGTGGTTAGGACTTGTGGGCTTAGGTGTGGGCGATTTGGTCTCACTATGGGTTTAATGATCACTTTTTTTTTGTCAATTAATGATCACTTAATACAGTCAAACGAGAAAGCAAAATAATAATAATAATAATAATAAATATAGTGCGGGCCACTTTCCGACTACGTTAGCAATAACCGGAAATCCGAGGCTGCTGACAGTTGGTGTCCGAGCCTTCCCGTTTTGCCAGCGAAATGTTCCGAGGCTCCGTCTCGGACACGGTATCCGAACCTAAACTTGCTGTGTTGTCTTCTTAACACCTCTCTCCGTCTCTCGAGCTTGATCGAGTGGGAGTGAACTAGTCCTGCGCTGTTTTCTGTTTGTTTGCTCAGAAAAAAGACGAAATTAACTCCTTTCCGTTTTCACCTTTCTCGCTCAGTGGTTAGAGAGAGAATAAACAGGTGTGACCGCGTGAGAAACTATTACACTGATCCAGTTGTTCTTACACTTTCAGGACCGATATAATCTGTGTAGTATAATACATCTCCACTCTCAAACTTTGCTTTGTTCGAAATGTAAATGTTGCATCAATCACGCAGTTTCTTTTTTTTTTTCCATCTCTATATATGTTCTAACGTCCGTAATAATTCATAAGGAATTACATTCATATTTCAGTGTCAATTCTACCGTTTCTTCATATTGAATTTCCACAGAGAGAGAGAGTTGAAAATTACGCAATCATCGGCATCTGTAATCAGTTGAAATTCAATGATGACTTTCTACGGAGAGAAGAAGAACTGTGCAATCAGCTTGCCTTGAATCGCTCGACTTAAGGTAAGTGTTTTTTGTTTTTTAGCTAGTCGAATTCAAGTGTCAATGTCAATTGAAATATCTAAATTTGATATTTATTTCAATATTTTAGAGGATTTGCTATAAGCATTCAATTTTTGGCTAAAAAAGCCAAGTGAAATTAATTAATTTCATTTGTTTCAATTCATTTTCTTTGTTAAATCTCAGATATATCAAAGATGATACACGCCAAGTCCGAAACAGATTCAACAACAAGTTTAGCACCATCATCACCAAGATCTCCAAAACGACCTGTGTACTACGTACAGAGTCCTTCTCGTGACTCTCACGATGGCGACAAATCTTCGTCCATGCAAGCCACACCGGCCTTCAATAGCCCCATGGAATCCCCTTCTCATTCATCGTCCATGTTTGGGCCCCATTCTCGAGCTTCTTCGGCCAGTCGGGTCTCCGGGATGTTCCGGTCATCGAAGGTGAATCGGAAAAGGAATGAGAAGGGGTGGCGGGAGTTCAATGTGATTGAAGAAGAGGGAGATTATGATGACATGTATGATGAAAAAGCGTATACTAGGCGTTGCCGGTGTTTTATTGCTATTGTGGGCTTCGTTTTGGTCTTCACCTTGTTCTGTCTCGTCATTTGGGGTGCTAGTAGGCCTTACCGGACAAAGGTTGCTGTGAAGGTATAACCCAAATTCCATTCTTTAATGACTTCACTATATACGATGTGAATGTATTTGTATACGCAAGCACTATTATAAACTACAGCTATTTCGAAGATCTGTATATATATATATATGTGGTACACGCACTCTCACACACACATATATATGTATTGATGTAGTCATGTCGGACACAACATCAAAGGATTGTTTTTTTTTTTTTTTTAAATATCTGGATACTATGCCCAATGGATTTTTTTATTCTCCAGATCCTATTTTTTTTTAGCACAGTAAGAATTGATAACTCCAAGAAGTACCTGTCTACCTTTGTCCTAGTGGCTTTGGGTCTTAATTATCAAGTCATATTTCAAGGTTTCAGAGACGGTAAAGAGAGAAGAAAGGAACTCTGAGAACTGGGCGGGGGTGTGGGCACTGTTTGGACCGACTAGGTGTTTCAGAGTTGAGCTTTGCAAATTTATTAATTGGTAGGAGTGATGGGCTAGTTCAGATTCAATTTATGAGGTCTTTTAAGTGAATATTGTGACCAGATTCTGGCTTTGGCCATCCAAAGAAATATCTACACTCAAGGTTGCTCCCAAATCAGTGAAAGTCCTTAGTGAACCTTTGGTTTCAACAATTTTCTATCAAAATTGAAACAAATAAATTTGTCTTTTAAACTGCGGATTCCTTACCAACATTCAACACTCGTGGTAGGATATAAACTGGTCTCTGTACTATCTTTCATGTCCAAAGTTTTTAGCAGTGTTTCTGAAATACTTTAATTTTGAGCTTTACTAAGTTAGTTGTTTGCTTCCTTACAAGAAATGGTTTTCTTGCAGAGTCTGACGGTGAACAATTTCTACTATGGCCAAGGTTCAGATTGGACAGGGGTTCCAACCAAGATACTGACCATAAACTGTTCTGTGAAGATGATCGTAGACAATCCCGCGACATTTTTTGGTATCCATGTCAGCTCCACCCCTGTTACTCTCATCTATTCAGAGCTTACAGTAGCAACTGGTCAGGTAAGATTTAAGACATGACCTTCAATTGTAGGTTGGTAAGTGATTGAAACAAATTTTCAATTGATGCGCTTGCACTGTCTTAAAATAATCCCAATTACTCAAATGAGCACTCTACAATATCCTAAAATAATCTGAAGTACTTAAATTAGCAACAAAAACCTCATGAATAAGAAATTAGTCTCATTAACATGGAAGTTCAATTGATTGAGATCTTTGCAAATTTATGACAGTATATTTCTCTTCTTTATTTTTGATTGGTAGCTTAAGGCATCCATCTCTTTACTTGAATTTATGTGATTTTAATGAACTTTATGGATGTTGAATTACTCTAGCTCGTCAGTGTGTTCTATTTGAATGGGATGTTTAGATTATTGGAATGTATGTTACACTTCTATATGCAAAATAAAATTGTGCAGTAACTAATACATAGTTGATTCACACTTTTTATGGTTGCAGTTGAAGAAATATTACCAACCAAGAAAGAGCCGACGAGTTATGTCTGTGAATCTAGAAGGTGATAAAGTTCCTCTGTATGGAGCTGGAGCAACCTTCGCCGCATCAGACAACAATGGTGGAGTTCCATTTAAAATGGAGTTTGAAATCCGGTCACGAGGAAATGTGGTGGGGAAACTGGTGAAGACAAGGCACCGTAGGCGTATCTCGTGTTCCCTAGTCATCGACTCTAGTAGCACCAGAACCATCAAATTCAAGGAAGATTCCTGTAAATACAAATAGATGGGCATTAGGTTCCATCCAACGCATACCAATCTTCATTTTCCGAACTTGAGGCAGTGGTTGGGCAATTCCACCCTGCTGTTCCCTCCATATGAACAAGAACTTTTCATTTTCAAGTAAATCATATATATATATATATACACAGACACACACATATAAAACTACAGCTGTGGAATTGTAGAAGCATAGCTAACATATGTTTCCTAGTTTGTGTGATAATCCTTTTCTTTTTCCTCCTTGGTGGCTTCTAAATTCGTGTCTGAATGAGTAAGGCAAAACGGACTGATATGAAGGGGTTTGGCTAATTAGTTTACTCTAATTGGCAACCAAAACAAAATTTTGACAGCTTTTGATGTTAGCAGTGAAAAAATAAATTGGATTACCCACCAATTAATAGGACAATAAGATGATTATAGTAAATTGACAGTGCCTTTGCCTGCCACAGAATCAATATGACTGTATAGATATATTGTAATCAAATACATAATTACTTCAGTAAAGGATTTGCAAACCATGAAGGATGCCTGAAATTCAAAAGGCTCCCCTTACTATATACAACTTAAAGCAGCAACCAGCAATAATCCTCCAGTTCTGTGTTACTGAAACATATCTTGAACCAGAATGGCAGCAATTTATCAGAGATTAGTTCATGGAGAAAACTGCACAACCTGCACAGCTTCAGAACATCACTCTACATGAATTTACATATGGCGCATAAATTCCCACCTGCACTTGAAACTGCTTGTGGCATGCCATCAACGGTTTCACCCCAAATCGGTGCGCATGAGTAAGACAGATGGTTTTAGTAATAGCACTCAACTTCTCAGATGAGAATCCGGATCGTTTCAGCACCATCCGGCTTCTGGTGTTACTGGCAGCAGACTCTTTCTCGTTGGTCATGACAGTCCCAGGAACTTGCAATGGATTGGAATAAGAAGCACTGAGATTTTCTTTCTGATATATTAGACCTAGGCTCTCTGCAGTTATCTCATCCTTCTTAGCATTTGGTGTAACTCCTTGATCTTCTTCTGTATCATTTTCGATTCTCTTGGCCTCACTCACTAGACCAATTCCATGCCATGCCTCTGCAACAAGCTGGAAAGTATCCTTCTCAGGAAGAACACCCTTTTCTTCCATAATTTGGAGCAATTCTTCTGCTTTCCAAGGCTGTTTTGCTTCTCCATATCCCCATATTAGGGTGTTGAAAGTTTTTAAATTGGGGGAAATTCCCATTTCACACATCTTCTCATATAACTTTAAAGCGTACTCCATTTTGCCTGCACTGCACCATCCACTTATGATGGTAGTGAAGATTACAACATTTGGGTGTACACCATACTTCTCCATTGTTGTCAGGACTGACTCGGCTTTCTCAGCTTCTCCAGTGCGCACGTAACCTTTTGCAAGAATGCTGAATGCATGGATGTCAGGCTCTATGCCAGCCTTCAACATGTCATCAAACATCTCATGGCATTTCTCCATGAGTCCTGCTGAACTCCATGCATTCATGATGGTGCTAAATGTTATTACATCCGGTTTGACCCCAAATTCTTTCATCAATGTCAGTGCCTGTGATCATGTTAATCAATAGTGATTTATAAATAATAATAATTATAATCTAAAGGTGAATGAAGAGGAAACCAGGAAGATGAAGTAACAAGAGTATGAAGGAGCACCACTGTGAGTGCTCGGAGGGGTGAACAGGATAAAATACCTATAATAATTCCCAAGACTAATGAATATCTGAAGCATGATTTTGATGTTACACATTTTGAATTAAGAAAAATTGCATTTCATCTAGAAATACTTGGCAAACATCTAATGTTATCAGTATAACTCATCTACAAGATTACCAAAGGTCAAAACACACCTCATCAACTCCATCCCCATCTGTGACGTCAAGAAATCCCTTGATAATTGAGTTAAAAACTACAAGATTTGGATGCACACCAAGATCCTTCATCCTGTACATGAATCTCAAGGCCTCTTCCATGTTACCTTCTTTACAATAGCCACTGATTATGATGCCACAAGTCCGCTGATTGGGTGCCACTTTGTTGTTCTGCATCTCCAATATCATCCCCTCAGCCCTAAATGTCTGTCCATTCTGAGCATAAGCCCTTGCTATTGTGTTATACGTGACGACATCTGCTTTCAATCCAGATGCAACCATCCTATATACCACATTCCATGCTTCTCTAATATTGTTCTTGCTACACCAGGCTCGAACAAGAATGTTATAAGTCCTATCATTGGGTTTCACCTTTTCTTCATGTGACATTAGCTCTAATAGTTTCAAAGATTCTTCAGGCTTACCAACATTACCAAAACCTTTCATTAGGGTATTAAAAGTGCTGGTTGTTGGCTTACATCCGCTCTCCTTCATTTTTCGAAAGATTTTCATGGCCTTCTCCACATTTCCAGATTCAGAGAAAGCATTGATCATGGCATTGAAAAATATTGAGTCGGGCTTCAGTCCATTCTCTTCCAACTTGGAGAGGAGCAAAGGAATAGACTTGAAACGTTTCTGGAGGGTCAAAGCAGATAAGAGAGTCGTATATGTTATTAGTGTTGGCCTGTGTCCTTCTTCTGTTAAACCTTTGAAAATGGAGTGGACTTCATGAGGCTTTCCCCTCTCAACCAAGATATTCATCAATTTTGTTCTTGAACGAACTGTTTGGCAACTATTGTTGCCCAAACAGACAACGCAACAGGATTGAATTTGAGAACTTCCAGAAACTGAAATTGGACGTAGTTGGTCCTTCTCATGCAGATGTGCTTCCTGCAAATTTTAAAAAAAATAATATTTGATTAGTAGAAGACGAGTGTGTCTGTCCACCTCTGTGTATACATAATTTGGATTTTGTACATTGGTACCATGACCAGGCCCCAACAAAGGGAAAGCAGACCAGTTCCTAGATAATCCGGGATATCGTAAACTAGTGATTTTTGCCAGTCTGAACATGTCACTGTCTGCTTATGGTTGTATCATGATTTTGAAACAGTATTCAACTACCAAAAGAAGTAACCTAGTGGTACTTCCTCACCTTTCAAAGTAGAAGGTCGAGGGTTCAAGTCCCCATAGGGGGGAAAGGGGGTGTGCGTAAGTTTTTTTTTGCCAAGAAACAGTATCCAAGGCCATGCTCAAGAAAGTTAAACAATAGTCAGGCTCACAGATAATCGGAAATTGAAACATTTTGGTCCAAAGAGAGAAAGTTCAAGATTTAGCCAACCATCCTGGAAAAAAGTAATAATTAAGCAACAAGACAATTTAACCACTGAATTCAATTCTGTTAAGAACCACACAAACACCAAGGAGATGTAACTCAATGGAATTCCTATTGGATACCATGCAATGATCTCTAATGAAAAGGTATTTGGACAGCACACCAATGTAGTACACTCCGTTTTGTTTTTACTGCAAATAAAATGAGGGTTGATAGATTCATGGAGATTTTACCTTGTGCATTGGTTCTTAACACTTCTTCATTTTCTATAGACAAAAAAGTTAATACTTACACTTCTACATAATTGGTGACTGGCGAGCACTCTATTTCACAAGAAATGATTTCAATGTATATATGCCAAAATTCAATAATTCAACATTTTCATGAATGTGATCATGTACCCATGTCTCGTTAGTCATTACTTCGAAGAAATTAAGAGGTGACCAGAAACAGACCACCCTTTCTAAAATTGCATAAGTAGTCAAAGCCAAGAGAAACAAATTTCAATAAGTTTTCATAGGAAGTTTATAAGGTTATGTAATGGCATAGAAGCAGGATTTAATTGTCCCAAAACCAAAAACTTTAATGATGCAGAAAAGGTGGGACGAGCAATATTTGATAAAGAGAATCAGTATCCATTGTATAAGAATGCTGTTATTAGAGTATCTTGCCAGTATATATTATGAAAACTGACCGTCAGAAAATAACTAGAATGATAGCATTCTTTTCTTCAAAAAATAAGAATCAACCAATACATATAATTGAATATAAGGAGATTCTGTACCCTGAAAATTTAAGTGGCATAGCAATCTAAAAGACACCTAGATTTACACCCAGCATTTGAAAAATTGACTTAAAGAAGTTCATTGTGGATTTGAAGAAATGTACCATAGCAAAGAGGTCAAGACATTCAGATTGATCAAATAAAACTGATTTAAGTTTCTGAAATATACCATGGCGGTTGATGCCTGAATTTGTTTCTTGGAGATAATTGACCCATTTTGGTGCTTCCCCGTGATGACAGTATGGGACCTCTCTTTATCAAACTTCCCCATTTCTTATAACAGTGAACCTTACTGCCTTGATTAAATTCCAGTGTCAACCATCCTGCTATAGATCAAGGCCGCGGATCAGATTTATGTTTACTGTGGAGATAGTCATATCATCCTACATAGAATCACCCTGGACATCTGCAGTTTGGGATTGCCATGATGAATTAGCTCACTGTAGATTCTCAGTATTTCTCTGCTAGGGCCTAATGGCCTATATACATAATATTTTCAAATTTTCTCTCTAAAGGTAAAAATCAAATGAGCTAACAGAAAGCTTCAACATAGGATTAAGTTTTAAGGTTGTATGATGTCGCGTAAGAATTGCACGATGACAGTTTAACTGGGCACCAATTAGATTGGTACGATTCTTTCCAAAACGGTACAGTTCTGTTGCATAACAAAAATAAAAATAAAAATAAAAATAAAAATAAAAATGAAAGGTCATATGGTCACTCTCATATTTTGTTGGAAAGATGGAGTAACGGGGAATTAGAAACCAAGTCAAAATTAAAGGTAACCAAAAAAATTCAAACAATAAGCCTAGAATTTGGTGACATAAGAAAACTCATATCCTAGTAATGAGGCTCAAAACTTGGTAGCAGTGAGTAGTAAGAGGAAAATTTTAAAAATCATGTACATATAGAAGTATACAATAATTGCACCAAATAACCTATGCAAAGCAATATCTTCAGTTGAAATTCTTAATTTCAAACATAACACAAAACACCATTTCCAAAAAGAAGACTACAAATGCAGCAACATCATTTCTAAATGAGAACCAAAAGGAAAGCATTACTGCTATAGCCAACAGTCGCTTTTTATGCTATAAATCACTATGAGGCTTATGCTTGGTAATTGAAGCACCATGCCCTCCCCTGCCTCCTTATTGTTCTTTTCAAAGTGACTCTGGCTAGAATTTTTAGAACAATGGTGTATGCAATTTTGAAGAGAAGTAGGATTTAGTATGGACATAACAGGGTTACAACTTACAAGCCTTATCGCTTACCGGGAAAAAAAAAAAAAAAAAAAAAACACACACACACACACAACTTACAAGCCTTCTTATCCAGCACATATTATGCAGAATCTCCAACTGTGACTCCATTTCTTTCCTATCTCATTTTCCCCAAAACCTTACAAATCAACAGTCCATTTCCTTATAAGAGAAAATAATTGCTTAAAAATGCTTGACCAACGGTAGCCTAGAGGACCATAACTCAAGCAGGCATATATATAGGATTCTTCATATTACCCTAAACAAACAGGCAAGAAGCAGACTGTGTAACCTTTGGCAGCAAATTACTCAAAATTTGCAGCATAAAACACTATAATTCATGATACTGAATGTAATATTGAACACACACACACACAACCAGCTAGAAACAAAATCTTGATGAAGATTTTACTATGGTTTCATCCTTAAGCAGGTAGTGCAAATATAAAAATTGACACAATTTTTTATATTGGAATTGCTTAAGTAAAAAGATATAAAAGAACCAAAGACCCAACTCCTATGGGTATATATTAGTTTCTATTATGAGATTTTAGGTAAAATCTAAATATTCTGAATTCAGAAAGATGAAGAGTCCAAAAGCATCAAGAATATGAAGGAATTTATGAAGAAATGGCTGGAATCAAGAAAAGTGCTAGATAAAATATGCAGAAATGGTTGAAATCAAGCATTGACAAAGCTGAATCAATTGGTTTGGAAGAGGCAGGTGGGTCGTACCTCGAGTGTGCAGTAGTTGCAAGCATAGAAAGAGAGAGATGAATTGCATGGTAGGGAAGTGGAATGTGCATGTACGACATGAAGCAGCGTTGTGTTGTGTGAGTTGTGACATCCATTGGAAAATCTTATCCACAAATATTATCAGAAATCCGAATGCAGTGTGAGAATTTCGATTTCTAAAAGGCTCAAAATAAAGTTTTCATTTTTCAAGGCTCAAAGTGAAGTGGAAAATGAAGTATTGTAATGGACCACAATTTGCCACGTTATATGTTATTAGTATACAGTACGTACATCAAACCTACCTTCGTATCTGTCCAAACTCCAAAGTCCACTGTGCAACTGCAAACCGAACCTCCTCCAATCCAAGGTGTGTGATTTGACAAATTTAGCCTTTAACCATAATTTTGGGCAACCGTCCAATTTGGAACCACACATCTTTGTCTATGTAGAGCTCGTTTTACCACACAACCCAGAAGAATATATATATATATATATATATATATTTTTTTTTTGATGCACCGGACTTCATGAAACAAGGCCCGTTAGGGAGCCACTCTGTGGCGTCAACTTGGGGTAATGTAACACAATCTCATAGTCACACACCGGATGAGTCGAGAACATAAGAGGTTCGAACATTGACCTGTAGAGTGCAAGCGCCGAGCTCCTACCATCACTGCTACACCCCAGAGGCACCAAAAAAATATTTGCTAACGATAACTCTTCCTTACAATTATACAGTATGAGATGTACAATTTTATTTTTTAAAAAATAAAAGTAAAATAAAGGTTGCTTCAAATAATATTTAGTCCTCTTTATTTGTAAATCCAAAAAAAAAAAAAAAAGGAAAAAAAAAGGAAGAAGAAGTAATATAAGCGTTTATAAGGAACTCTTAATTAGTAAAATGAACTTTGATTTTTCACTAAAAACTTCGAATTAAGACCTGCACTGATGAGAATACGCACACAACAGTAATCTCACTTCTTTCCACCCCTTTCCGTATATGTCAAGAACTGCACTACTATTTATTTTACCTTAATGAAGAAAAAAAAAAAAACAAAAAAACCCTTGAGTATCATTCCCAATTCCCACATTGCTCTAACCATCACACTATCACAGTATTCAGACCTCAGCTACAATATACAATATAATCACACTGAATTTATCCATATAAGGTGACTAGGTAATAAGCTATACTAATTCCGCGAGTTTTTAGTTTTCTTCCACTAGTCACAAATTTGAATATTTGATCAGAAAGTTCCTATTCACTTCTCTCCAATCTTTGCTGCCATCGTAGGTTTTGCTGCTGCTCTTTATAAATTATATAGTTCACGCTAACGTCGTTCAACAGGCAAGATACCAAATTATATATATACAGTCATCCAACAGTCAAGAGAGAAGAAAAATAGAATAAACATATATGTAGGAGATGTTACAACTGCAGTAGAGATCAAAAAATGAACAGGAGTATTTTTTTGAATGTGACTGGTTACTCAGATACAAAGTCAAAAATTACACAAGCCCCACTGGACCTTTCGCCAATGCACTCTTGGCTTATGTAGCAACGGGATTCATTCAACCAAGATTAGATAAACCAACTATGACCACCAACAAGAGGTACTCTTGCCTTGAATACAGCAGATGCCATCAAACAGGGGCAATGGTTGAAGCAAATGCTCTGGAAGGAGAGGGAAGAAAAAGATAGACGCCTTGTTAGGTCTCAATAGACAGGATTACAGAATCACAAAGTATAAAACATTTATAGCAAAAATTAAGAGAGGAACTTTCTACGAGGGTCCTTTAACCCACCTGCAAGAGGGTTAACAAAGTATTAATGTTTTCTTTGAAACAAATTGTCTTACTGTGTACACAGAGGCAAACTGGTTCCTAGCCAGGAAAATGAGCAAAAAAAGGCTTTCCAAAGTCCTAGTTTAAAAGGGAGGGGGAAGGAAATAAGAAAACAAGCACAATTCTTATTCTCTCTGTAGTTTCTCTCTTTTTGAAGGCTAAATACGATAGAATGGAGTTCTCTCCTTTTCTCATTAGAGGAAGATACAACAGCTTTATCATTTTGATTAATGGATGCAGCAAAAAAAAACAGAGAGGAAGAAGAAGATAAATTCAGTAAAAAAAGTACAAAATAGGGAGATTTGCCGAGTTTCAGGCCCGATTTGTCTCTGCAAGAAATGGCCATATACCTTTCAAAGAATTATTTCGTTTGCCATCATATATATGAGGGTACACGTACAGTACAATATTAGTACCTCAATCAACCAGAAAGAAAAAAGGAAAAAGAAAAGGTAGCAAGTGGTGAATATTTGATAAGCAGCTGAGTATGCAGACATGACTAATCTAGTCTAAGTTAAAAAATTTGAAAACCCTAATACCCTGGATGTCAGGTGGTGTATAGTGAGATATCTCTGAACATGCAAAGACATGGGCACAACAATATAAGACTTATCACTGACCATTTGTGATATGGCCAATGAATGTACTCCAACCAAATAGTAAGCTAGATGGTAAGGCAGGTGCAAACCATGCAATGGTGCGTAGCTGGCTAGGAAATCTTGTAGTCCCAAATCAATCTAATTTTTATTAACCAGAGAAAAGAACACAGAAAAGGGGGGATTAATGTACCGGGATACTTAGTAAAAGTCCTTGAGGATTGACTAAGACAGGTAGGCCTCTTCTTGCAGCAACTGGGATAGACTTCAATGAATCGAGAGCTCCTTGCGCTGATAACTTCACATAATCTGAACATGCATTTAACTTTTCTGTTGCTTGCTCCATCTTCTCAGCCAAGAGAACTCCTTGCTCTTGAGTACTTTCCACATTCTGACATTTTGACAACTTGGAAAGATACAGCCAATCAGCATCAATCATGTAGCGCACCTCAGCTACCATGTCATGACTAACTGGACAAGACCTGCAACAGAAATTCGGACTTTCTGCTCCCAAGTCCTGGTCAAAATTAGCCTCATTCAGGGAGGAAGTATCATTTATAATATTCTCCCTCAGTTTCCACATGACTAAGAATCTGTTCATAAAGTAACCAATGTGCCCAGGCGGAAGTACTGCTTTGCTCAGTGAAGTCCTGGTAGCTTCTACTTCATTCTTTAACTTATAGTCAGACTTGACTTCAGTTTTGGACCTGAAATGTTCGATTTCGTCTCTCTGCAAAGAAAGAATGATCCTATGGGTCGAGTCGCTGAGAATATTGATCCTTTTGGCTTCAAGTAGCACAGATTCAGAAGATGTTACATCCAAAAATTGCACATCTGAGGCATCTGGAACCAAGCAATCCGAGTATGATTTTTCATGCGCTATAATTTGCTCCACCTCAGTTGGATTGAACCGCTTCTGTACTTCATAAGAGTGTTCATGAAACAACTCCATCTTCAAAGGCAAAGAAGAATCAATGGAGCAACAAACCAGGACTTTGGTGCCTTTAGAACCAGGAGCTGGACAAAGGTAACAACCAGCTGCAGTAAGGGAAGTCTGCAAGAATACCAAAACAGATCTGTGAATAAATATAACCAATGAACCTTTAACTATTGAGTAGCAAACTGGATGGATGACTTTTGAGGATAGAAAAGGGAAAATTTCAGTCCACAACTCTCTGAGGAACAGCAAGATTCCAGCCATATGTCATGCAGACTATTTAGATCCATATGGCAGGCCAAGGCTGGAAGATATACAGATATTAATAAAGAAGGTAACCTTAATAGTAACAGTTACTATCTTGCTGTCACAATTTTTTTTGCACCAGAGAAACAAAATTCTTTCTGTAATTTCACCTCACTTTTGACTAATAAAACAAAATAATTGAAACAATTTTTTGACAGTAATTAAATCATACGGGTGTTCCTGCCAAGTTCTCAAAGAAATGCCGCCAGAGGTAACACCTCCCCCCATTCTTTTTCAGTACATCAAAACATAACAGGAAGTAGGCAAAGACACACACAGAGTAAATTAGGCCAAAATGAACATACAGTAATTTTGGAAGAGGAAACAGGGAGGGATTGGTTATAGTGTTGAGCACAAAATGGTGAACCATACACTTGTTATCCCCCCATATGTTAGAGGGTAAACCATCAAATACGACAGCTTAAACAACAATATTCTAATATAGCTAATACACAGATGCCTCTGATTCCAAGAAAATTGACAATGAATTCCAGCAATCCCTACTATTTCAAAATCAAGTGACAGTCCAGACTGCAGCACCTGGGGTAAGATTCGACCATCATGCATGCATCTTAATGTGGTTGAATTTCAATGTGTCCGATAGTGGCATAGCATATCAGCATTTGAATTGCATGCCAAAAAGTTTGTTTCCTTTTCTACAATTCTAAATTAAGATAACCTAACAAATAAAAAGTAATGCATAACATGTAAATGTTGTAAGACAAAGAAGCAAAGACTAGAGTGTTGAAATGAAATGCACCTTGCATGGGAAAGTATGAAGGTAGTTCAACAGCAATTTTGATGCGCTACCCCGAACTGGTCTGCGCCCGTGTGAGATGAACTGATAGATACAAATTCAAACAGCATTAGCAGGACCCCCCAAAAGAGTTCAACACAGGAAACTTCTAGTGTGTCAGATATCCAACACGCTAAGAATGGCAGTACCTGCAACACTGAGGTAACAAACTTTGACAAGCATAAATCCTCAACTTTTGATGGATTAAGAATCTTTAAATCAACAACGGCATATCCTTGCTGCACCCAGTGAAGAGAGTGAAAAACAAGGTAAAAAGGAAAACAAAAAGGTAGAAACAGATTTATCGGATAACTATATTAGATAGTTTTAAAAATATCTAAAATATCAGATTTATTTTTCTGCCTTTTTCATATCTCCTTGTTTGTGTTAGAGGTATTAGGGCATCAACCAATTGTGAAAAGAGGCAAGCTTCATTTTAATTGATAATTCTTTTGGCAGGTAAAATATTATTTCTTTAGTCAGGATCAAATCCAATGCAAAAAAATATTATTATCTTTTAATTGCTGTTGTTACTATCAGTATTATCGTCGTGAAAGAGGCTAACACATGCAAGTAAACTTCTATAAATTTGCATGAAAATCTCTCTTGTGATACATCTCCAATTGTTTAAAGCAACAGAAGAAAATAAATAAAGTAAAATTCTTACCATAAAACAATTGAAACTTCTTAAAGATCTACTTGAACTTTTACGTTCAGACGAGTGTAGAAAAAAGGATAATAAACATAAAAGAAACTCAAACAGTCAAAAGCTACTTACATCCATGATGTTGACAGCCTCATTTATCAAGTTATAACAAACTCTTTCAATGTACGAACGTGTTCTTCGACATGCAGAAATAACTGCTTGTAATTCAGAATTCAAGGAAACTGCAACATAAGAAACAGTTATACATACCAAGTCACCATATTTTTGAAGAAACTACATACGGCAATAACCCATTCTTTTGGAAATTACGAAGCACCCAAATTGACTAAAATGTTTGCCCCCCAAAATGAGGAAAAACTATTCAAGACAAACATCACATCACATAGTGGATGATTTGAAATTAAAAAATGTAGGAATGTTTGTATGAAGAGAAATAGGTCTATCTATCCAAGCTGTCATGTCTATCATAAATTCACAATTCACAGCTCACGTGATGACAAATTCTTCAACGACATTCGGATCCTATTACGAGCAAAAGATGGACTTTGATTTGTAGGATCTTCCACCCATTCCTGATTACCCCCTTGACATATCTGCAAGAGTAATAAAAATATATTTAAGCTAACCTCAAAATAAATAAGGGAAAAAAACACTCATACCATAGATCAGATAATCACTTAAAGTTCACTCAAATTAAAGTTAACATTACAACTACACAAATCGTTAACTTGGTTTCAATTCCAATTCCACAGCGTTTCAACACCCCAAATCCACAGAAACACGTCAATAGTAAAAGCACATATCTTATGTCGGAGGAACTGTAATCCAAAATCAAAACTAAACTGATTCTGGGTGAATAGACAGTACTTTGAAGATATTATCCATGAAAATTAAAAACAAAAATTTGACCCAAAAAAAAAACCTACCTTGTACAAATCATCTTTTGAGAACTCCAGGAGTGGTCGCACCAATAAAATACCATGGTCATTTGACGCTTCACCATTAAAATTTGGATATTTAGAAAATAACTGAGAAACAAATGCCATGCCAGCAAGTCCAAGCACGCCACTGTTTCGAGAGAGTCTGAGAATGAATAACTCCGCCTGCATTGTGACTTAGCAATCACTATACGTCTAGTTACTGTGAAATGCCATCAAGGTTTAACTAAACACTGCTTTTCCTTCTTGCCCACTAACCATCATGTACAATTTGCCACTCATTATTTGTTTATTAAATCTTACCTGAAAAAGAAAAGGAGTAAATTTAACTAAACTCTTGTATATCAGAATAACATAATCTAGTTAATTATTTTGTCAACCACAAACTTGAACAAGCACACACGACCGCGCACACACACACACACAATTATGACTAATGCTGGTCCAAACCTGATCATCTGCATGATGTGCAATTAGTAACACGCCAATTTGGTGCTGAATGCAAACATTATGGAAAATCTGATATCTGGATGTTAAGGAATTCCAAAAACATAAAGAAAAAGTGTAAACTCGAAGCATCTTTATAAAATTTTGAATAGTTAAAATAAAGAAACCACCACCCTGCTTGTGAAAAAATCACCTCATATCACGAGCAGCTTCCTGCAAGTGACCCCGCTTTGGCCTACCATCCGACCATTCACAATGACCAATCTCACATCTGATTCCTACACAAAGCCTACATTAACAAACTGCTGTTCCCATGAAAATCTAATGAAGTCCAATACACAAAATTAATCCAAACCACCTAAAAAGGGAAAAGTATAGATACCCATATTTAAAACTCGAGTGGACACTTCATTGGCCTCATCTTTGCTCTCAGCGCGCAGTCCATGATCAACTATTATTGCCAAAAGCCCATCAATGAAGATACTGTTCTCGCCTCCGGGAGCATTAAGGCAATTGGTTTTCCAACCAGCAGCCAATACACACAACGCTATACTGTCGGGACCACCAGATACTCCAAGAGCTGAAAGAATGAAAACACCAATGTATAAATTTTCATCAGCATCCTCAGTTAGCTTTACGAGAAAGTGAGAGGAAAGAGGAGAAACATATTTTGAATAGTTTAATTTTATTTTTTGTTCTTCCTATCGAAACATTGGAAAGAAGGAAAAACATCAATGGAGATAAGGCAAATAGTTGTACTAAGCCCGATAAGATGGAGATTTTCGAAACTTGGGTCCTACTTTACCAAAATTCAAGATTCCAAGTTCAGATTTTTTATTTTTTGTTTTTCCTTTCCCTTCTCTCTCAATTTCTCAACAACCTCTAGCAAAAGAGGAAAAGAAAGTGAAACGAACTAAAGTCTTTCAATAATTTATTCATTCACAATTACCACCCGCCAACTGGTTGCTGGAAAAAAAAATAGTAACAAAGAAAAATTTCAACTTACTATAACCTCAGTTGTTTGTTAGAAAATAAAAAATCAACTAATCTTAAGCCCAATGGTAAAATAGACTACTAAGGGGTTTTCTTTTCTTACTTTTCCAGAAGGCCTAAAAGTGAAAAGATTATGATTCAAAATGTTAATTTTTATCATTTCATATTCTCAGCAACCAAACAATAGGAAGAAAGGAGTTCAACCTCTGGACAACTTCATCTATAACAGTTACACTCTGTTTTGTTTCTGATAACACAGAGCATAAATAAATCTTTGTAGAATTTGGTGTCTCCATTCACATAGTCATACATATTGTTTTGAGTGTGCGCGCGCGCCCATATATGCACACAGATATTGCAACGTATAAGATGAGTAGAGTAGAGTGACTGACCGATACGGTGATGGGGTTTGAGTCCGGCCATGGCCATTCTCTTAGAGAAAGTCTCTCTGTACTTGGACATATCGATGGGGTCATTGGGGTAACTGCAAAGCAAGCGAGAGGAGGGAATGGATGCAGAGGACTGCAAATGATTTGGCGCGAATGCGTTCTTCCCTAATTTCCCTGTTGTAGAAACCCTAGAAATGGAGGTTAGCAGCAAGTGCGAAGTCGTCTTGTTCTGCGAAGAGACGATGAGACCTCGCGCCATCTGCTTACTGATGAAGTAGCCTATTGTGCGCACCTGTGCGCTATATGATATAACCACCATAAATTGTTTCAAGGTAATACTAAGTGCGGGGAGGGGCCTAGCGACGTCGTTTCGTGATCTAAATGTACCAAAAAGGGTAATGTTTGTAGGAAGGTAACGTCGTCCAAAACACTGGAGTTCATCACCGTCACAATCACGATGCAACAAAGAGCACTCTCTCATTCATCGCCGTCACAATAACGGTAAGAATCGTAAAAGTTTAAATTGGATTAACATGTTTTGAAAATTAAATAATGCACTATAGTCAAAAAAAAAAAAAAAAAAAAAAAGGAAAAAAGAAAAAAGAAAAAAAAATGTAAAAGTTTGTATGATCTTGTTATGTTATGCAGATACCTTCATAGTCTAGTGAATTAATGTTTTCGATAAATTTTAACCCTCTACATTTACTAATGTGTGATCTTATTGTAAATAAATTTTTATACAAAATTTCTTATGGCATCTAACAACATAGACATCACTTAGCAACTAAAAAAGAAAGCGCGCTTCTGTTCTTTAGGAAGTGCATAATGATATAAAATTTTCTGTTCATTGGGTTAGCCTTTCCTTAATATATAGAGTGGAAAAGAACGAGAATTTCATGGCAGATGTTCTGCTCTTTGATTGATGAACAATAATGCATGTATATAGATACGTCCTGAGTACCTTTGAGCATTAAATCAGGTAAGCAGTCACAGCATTGTTTTCGTTTTTTTTTAATGTTGGAACTTCAAAGAAATCAAATAAAACCTGTTCAGAATAAAGCTTTCTGATGGCTGAAGGGAGTGAAATTTCCTTCAGATGCAAGCATCCACTAAGAAGGATTGTGATTGAATGATGTGAAGCAGACAACTGAACATCACCACAAGAACTCATTTAATATTAGATAGTACCAAGAAGGATAACTTATTATAACGTAATAAAAAGTTATGCTTTCTAAATGCTTAATAAAACCAACTGAGTAGATTGAAGTGCTGCACAATCTAGTAATCCGACTATAGAAACATTAGATATCTTGTGAAGAGAAGAAATGGTACATCAGCTTTCTGCCGGTGACCACCTGAGGTGTACATTACATATAAACATCTTTAAATTGCTTTAATCATCAGTACAAGCTGAATGAAGGTGAAACAGACAGTAGTCTTATCCCCATATGCCGACAAATGCTCTAACATTCACAGCCTGAAGATCTTTGTTGCCGTCCACCAGCGACATCAATGGTATCAGGAAGATATCTACATCATTGACAGACAAAATTCGAAACAAATTAGCATCTCAAAGAGAATAGGATATCTTGATATCAAATGCAAGTTTAAGATAACTACTGGAAGAGTTAATGCATTAGAACTGCATGGCTGTTGCAGCATAATCACTATAATTTTACCATCGCAAGGAATCACATGGTTAGCGATAATAACAAGCAACGCAATGAGTCTTCAAAAAAGTACCGTATATAACCATTAACTACCCAAAAAAGAGTTGACACAAACTCAAAAGATATTGCAAATCGGTCCTCTGCATGATCAAGGGCACTCCACACCTAAGTAGGGTGTTAGTTTAATAGGACTTATATTGACAAATTTGTACCCAAAATTTGGAGTCTAATTTTGTTTATTGTTATGTTTATTAGAGTGTCTAGTTAGTTTAGTTAGTAGTAAAACCTTATCCCATGGCATTTATGAAATTCAATATATATGCAAGGGCAAAAAGGTAATAACTTACATTGGGACATTGATTTACAAGGGTCCATGCATTCATCAATTAGGGTTTCATGTTTTCCATGTTTGATTCATACAAATCCTTTTTGATACACATAAAAGTGTATTTGAAAACTTTTTAAAATCAAAATCCTATTCATACAAAGATGGGTTCTTGACTGATCGATGGATTAATAGAAGGCCACTGGCCTGGTGTCAGTCGATCAACACTTGACTTGAGAGTGAGTTTTCTTTTAAAATTGAAACACTCAGAACTTGGGCATGCTTGGTTTGTAACTATGAAAACAGTTTTCTGTTCTCAGAAAACTAAAAATAGAAAACAGTACAAAAATCTCTGCTTGGTTCAGTTTTCAGAAAACTGTTTTCTGAAAACTCAGCTATAAAAATGTCTGTTTTCAAATAACTATAAAAGATTGTTCTCTGAGAACAGTTTTCTGTTATCTGAATTCTTGAGAACTATTTTTTGAATTACAAACAAAGCAAGCCCGTGTTTTTCTGATTCTGAACTCTGATAAAGGAACCCAGAGTTCAGAAAACCTAAGCACAATAAGATGCATTATGCATTCTAGTGATCTCTGATTGTTAGAATTCTTTGTTTTTTAACATTCACCATACATCTAGCATGGTGAGTGTGTCAATTGTTTGTTGAAACGTTTAGTGTTGAGATCCAAAGGCCCTTCAACAACAAATCCTTTCACACAGAAGGGAACATTATTAGAAAAGACATCAAAAGTTCACAGAGAAGCAGATCGCAAGAGGAACGGATTTGTTGATGGTAAGCTGCACAAAGGATCTAGTGAGATCTTGCGTTAAGTCTGAGTCGAGAGTGACTAAGGAATTTTAGAGAGAATTCAATAACTTTAGTTGTAACCTCTCTCTCACATAGTGAATTTTGATCTACCTAGCTAGGTCCTAGATCTTTTCTGTTTGAATTTTCGATGTAAAAATCCTTGTGTTATATGTGTGATTGCTTTATTTTTACTGTTTTATATTTTCACATGCATGATGAACATTATGAATGGATTGAGTTATGTGTTTGCTGATTAATTAGGTTTTCAAATATTTCTGTCAGAATTTAGAAAGTCTGTTAAAGTTAGTTAAAATCTGAACTGAAACCTATTCAAACTCCTCTAGGTCTAAATCACAACCTTACACAACTCTAGTCAGAGCCCAAGGTTACAGTTCAATAGTCTTCTCACAGGTAATTTTTTACTGTTACCATTATTTAGAACCATGCAAGCAATATAAAACTATGATTGAGAGCAATTTTTCAAAAACACTCACATCTCTTCCTCAGGTTCATTTTTGAGAGCATTTTGGGCTATGCACTGGAAAGCAGCTTCTACATTGAAACCTTCTTTTGCAGAAGTTTCAAAGTAAGGAATATTTCCCTTTGACGCACACCATGCTCTCGCCTTCTTCTCAGACACCTAAAATTTGAAATAAAAAGCCTATTATATACATGGCTATTAATGAGTAGAAGAAAAGAAAAACCAAACATTGAATATTTCCCAGAAAAGCAGTCCTATATGAGATAAAAACACAGAAAGAACAACATTGACTAGATCTACATCGCAATTAGGCATAGAAAAGATGCCAGAACAACAGACCCAATCACAATACAAATCCCAAATCTCACAGATGAACAGCACCAAGAAAAAGCAACATTTATCCATAACCTATTTACCATACAACCCCCTTTCACTCTGAAATTGCATATCTATAACGAATGACTTGACTATCAACAAGAAAGAATATTGTCTTACCACTCGGCTGTTACCACCATCAATATCTACCTTGTTTCCCAATACAACAAATGGGAAGTTTTCAGGGTCAGAAGGGCTGGCCTGAAAATCAAATCAATTCAAGAAAATTGTCATCAATGATATGTAAAAATCTGGACTTGAATTGAATGCTAATGGTCAATGATCACCTGAATCAGAAATTCCTCCCGCCAGTTGTTGAGGTTATCAAATGATTTCATGACATTCACATCATGCACAAGTACACAGCAATCTGCACCGCGGTAAAAAGCTACACCAAGGCTTTGAAATCTTTCCTGTCCAGCTGTATCCCATATCTGAAAGCATGGACATGGAAGTGTCAGCCTCAGATGAGACTAGTAAATATAGCTGGGACATGCCCCATATCTTTACTAGATTAGGAAAAAAAAACCAAATACTATCAACCTTTAAGCTGATTTAAAAGAAAATTGTCAATTTCTATTTTTAAAATTTTAAAAAAAAAAAAAAAAATGGAAGAAGAATGTAACTTTGTAACCAGAAACAACAATCTTTAGCATTTTCTTTATGCTTCTAAAACCTCATCTGACACAATTCAAAACATACAAAGGATTGTACTGATAACGAACCGAATGAAGGCTAGAGACTACCATGTGTAATTTTCAAGTGGTTTCTTTAAGTTTGCTGAGTCACAAGAAAATTCCTATGGTTGATTGACATAATTGACATCTGGGGGAAGAAGAGAGGATTTTGGAGACAACTCATTGTTAAACTTAACACATGAGGTTTCAGTAAGCATTCCAAAGACTGTCAAATGAATCTGGCAGGAAATTGGAATGACTCATCACAGATATATAACATTTTTTGAATTTTCCCAGTGACAATGCCAAGAATAATGTTTTAGAATCCTTTCACCACTGTACTGAAGTTAGTACCATAACTCATCTCAACTCTTCCTACGATACCTGAGGACAGTTTCCCAAGGTGAAACAGGAGAATATGATTGATACTGAAGAGGTAATGAACTGCTGCTTTACTTTGTGAATAACACTTAAAATGTAATAACACCAAGACCTAAAAACCAGACTCAAAATGGCGTCAGTTATCAGCTGGACCAAAAATACCAGGCTGGTGGAGTTGAAAGCAGTCCCCAGTGGTGTGTGTGTTTGCTTTAACTTTCAAAAAGAAAAAGCAGTCCACAGTGTGCTCAAAAGTAGCCCCAACCAACCTCTAGAGTCTAGACTGATACTGATATACCTTCTAGGGTCCTGGCTTGGGTGAAAGGTGGTCGTAATATGGAAGACTGAATATCAATGTTATTACTCTTTAAAGAAACATTCACAATCAGTTTTGGTGCTTCCCAAGGAGTCATCTCTATACTTTTGGTGCGCTCATCTTCCAAAAATATAATAGAGATGACTCCTTGAAGGCACCAAAACTGATTGTGAATGTTTCTTTAAAGACTAGTAACACTAATATTCGGTTTCAATATCTCGTAGTCCTAGAAACCAGCCATATATGATGGCACTTGACGCAATCGAAAATACTTTAATATGGCATCTGGTTTATGCCTTCCGGTTTCCAAATTGGTCACGGTCTTGCAAAAATGTGGGATCACGAAGAGAAGCTGAAGGCCCAAGGTGGCATCTTCAACCTATTGGGAAGGAAGCTAGATGATTCAGATTCCCTGTCGCTCACTAGGAAGCTAATGTCAAGAAATAGATATTGATTAGCACACTATCAAATTGTTCCTATATCTTCAAGTTACCTTTTCAATGCCTCAATTATCTTCTTCATTTTTCCCCCCTTGACTATGCCTGTATTATCTTATGTCCATGATACAAGAAAACACTAGCTTAAGCCAATGCTTCTGATTTCTTCTTTCCTCATTTGTAATGATGATATATGTTAGACCCATCAACCAAAGAGTGAGCCACCTTACTAGGAAATATTAACTATATCCTTCAAATAGATGACAACGAGTACTGAACAGGGCTTTGTCACACTTTTGACCAATGATCCCATCCACATAATCTTCATAGTATAAAAGTATGATCAATATTCAAAATTAGAGAAAGGCTTTGCATAGCTCAAATCCAATAAATATTTGGCGTGTAAAAAGCAAGTGAGTATAAAGGTAACTTGGACTAAAAGTCTTGAATACAAGTTACTTTTTCACTGAGATATAAAACTTTTCTAGAAATTAAATATCATGAAATCCGGGGAAACATATCCGTAGATGTTGATTATATTAGAAAGCTACCAAATGAATCACATTTATTAGACACAAGTTTAATTAGTGATTAATATAGCAAACAAGTATCATTTCATAACTTATAAACCACTGCAGTTAAGAAAATTATTAGCTTCTGCCAAGAGGATGTCATCAACGCATACCATTCATGGTTAATAAATTCGCTTGCCTTCCGCCCACCCGCACACATTCACACACTTCGCATGTGATCCATCATATTCTTGACTACCAGTCCAAGTGAAATCCTTTGAATGCAGAAATGAGCATGAACATGTAAACCGAGTTTTATATATATACAAGGATAAACTCAATTTTTCACATAATGTTTTTTTGGGCATTATTTATAAATTTGTCTTTTCACCATTTAGGGTAATTTTTTTTTTTTTTTTTTGTCTTTTCACCAAGTTAATATGCATCAAGCATTTCCATTTGCAAGTAACATTTATACCAATGAAACAATTCAGTCACAAACAACTAAACATAAATTAAATTAAAAGAGACAAATGTATAATAAGAGCCTATCCCTGACCTGCAACGTGAAAAGCCTATCTTCATACTGGACTTCTTTAGTCAAGAAGTCAGCCCCAATGGTAGCTTTGTATTGATTACTGAACTTACGATTCACATATCTAATTGCATCATTTAAGGCAAATCACACCCCATATCGTCCAATAACCTGACAATTTATGAAATACATAAATAAATATTATATATACACACACACGCTTGCATACATGTATAATTTCAAGATCCCAAGCTCAAGGATACTGATTCATCAGAGATGTCTTTCCAACCCTGTAGATGATAATTAGCATCAGAAATCCTTCCTTACATATATATGATCATATGAGAGAGAGAGAGAGAGAGAGAGAGAGAGAGACTGACCCGCTGTCACCGAGAATTATGACCTTGAGAAGCATGCGCCTACGAGACGCCATGAATTCGAAGCTCTAAGATTGGGATTGATTACTGTTCCGAAAGTCAAGAATTAGGGTTTTGTTGGAGAGGAATGAGATTATCACAATTAACTATGTGCTTTTTTCTGAGTATCGAATATGCACATCTGAGATCCCAATTTTTTTAGGCAAACAAAAATTAAAAATAATTAATAACTAACCAATAACAAAATTTTACCTTTTACTTTATCTACATAAACTCGGGAACAAAGCTAACTACCAGTCTTAACCGCAACCATCCCACAACAAAACAAAGAAAAGGCCAAAAAAATAAAAATAAAAATAAAAAAATAATGCAGTTTTTTTTAATTAAATAATTTTGGTCCAACCGACAACCAGTGTACAGCCCAAAATGAGGATATTCTCGGCCCCATTAGCACGGTGTGTGTATTTATATATAATAAATGAGTACATATATCCAATTTAGACCATTGACCTCCACTCCAATTGCAATTCTTTCTTAATTGATTGGACCAATTCAAAAGAAATGGATTGTTTGAATTGCGGTGATATAACTAGAAACTGTTACTGGTCAAAAAAAAAAAAATTTTAAAAAATGAATAATAATAATAATAACTATTGTTTGAATTGCGGTGATATAACTAGAAACTGTTACTGGTCAAAAAAAAAAAAAATTCTAAAAAATGAATAATAATAATAATAACTACTGATAAAATTATAAGAGGAATGTCAAGTGCTGACACAACAATAGAATTTTAAATTTTGTTGTAAAATTCACCGAATTCAAGACGTGTTTAGCACAGCTAAAATTACTAAGTCGTGAAATCAGACATAAAAACTTTTCATTGCTCACCGTGAAGGAGCACCTTAGGAATTGATAGTTTCTCACCAAAGACCACAACGGCTGCCTGTAGGCGATTGAAGGCCTTGAATCGGCTCTTCAATTCATAACTTGATCAACTACATCGAGTTGTATGATTCAGGGATACAAAGGGTCTTGGTTAGTGTGGTGATGAAGGAACTGAAAGAAATGAATAGAACACAATACAGAAGAAAAAAAGGGAAAAAGAACTGAGTGTGGTAATAAAATTTGAACTAGTGTACCGTTAGCATCAACCCTAGAATTTGCTTATATGTTGCTTAGTTATACTCCGATCTTTTCCAAAGACTAACTAAAAAACACAAGTTAGAGCCCCTTAAAAAATTGTTGTTTGAACTGTATGTTAGGTTTACCGTGTGTTAACCAATTGTGTACATAAAATTATCACAAGATGATTCCAGACTTTTTGGACCATTTAAACACAACGCCAAACTCCTTTGAATATTTTAGCTCGTTCCTGTCTTAAAAATCAACCTTCCACTTCTAAAAGCATACCAAAAGGCTAATGGAGCTAGCACTCATCTCCCAACAACAGCCTGGAATTTAGAGGAATCTGCAGTTATCACCCCATTTGCTTTCAACCCATGTGATGCCAACCTCATAATGCACATATTGTGGCCCTTTCAATGATTCATTGCATTCGAAACTAAAGCATACGCGGACCCTGAAATGCATTATTCAAGCTGTGGCATACTTTCCATGTCTTGTCCCTTTGGCAATTTGGACCACTTTTTGTTTTCAAACAAGTAGAAAGAAAATTCTTATATATCAATGGATTGATTTCGTCTAACTTTCTTGGTCGTTTAAATACAACAAAAAATGGTGAACAGCCATTTCGGATATGATCTGATTAAAAACAATATATAATTCCAAAAAGAGCCCACAACACTTTTCCATCTCCCTCCAAACTCAATCTTATCTAACTGTCAAGTTCCAATTCAACCAAAACTGACACAAGCAACAAGTTTATGGAGAAGATATCTCAGCAGATTCAACAACCAAATAAAAGCTATCAATTTAAGCATCAAATAAAAAGAATTGCACCAGTATCTCTCTTGTTATTCTGTAAAAGCCCCAATAAATAAAAAGAATAAAACACAATTTCAGGCCAAAAATAAAAGAAAAAATAAAACTTTTTACTGTTAACTCGGGTAGACGTGCCATATTAACTTACAAGTGAAGGTATAAGAATTATGGGGGTAGATTTCTACAGGTTTAGCATCAGTTGTCAGGAACTTCCGCTGAAGCCTCGACTGTCTTTCTTCAACCTTCCCATCTCCATCTCACGGGTTTGTTGGCCTTCGCTGCTTGAGCCAGACGGGTTCAAACCATATTCACTGGTTGGACCACCACCACTGTACTCGCTGCTGCCATAATCATGGCTTGCTAGTGCCATCTTCCTAAATTTTATCATGTCCTCATTATATTGGCTGGTGTCGTAGTCTGAGCTTCCATGAGAACTGTACATTGTGCTGTGTCCGGGTCTGATTCCTTCATTAAGATCGGACAAAGACACATCTCCTTCCAGGGCTCGCACCACCTGCAAAATTTCAAATTAATTATTTGTTTAGAAATTAGGTACAAAAAGCACATGTATGTTTGTAAAATTAGCATCTTGTTTAAAACCATTTGACCATATTGTGGTTTTTCAAGCACATAGCCAGAAAGGCAGGCTCAAGTGTAAGGGTGCAAGACTCCCAGCAATTGAGTCCACTTGGGAGCTAGTCAAACTCTATATTTTTTTTTCTTTTTCCCTAATTATGTCCAACTCATTTTGGCATAAAAAGAATCTAGAGTAAATGATTTCAGAACTTTCTATCAAAAAAATTCCAACCATAGATGGTGATAAGATTAGAATCATATAATCCAAACAATTGATACATCATTTCATAATTTTCATGGCCTTATTCATCTCTCAAGTCTTAGAAAGGCACAAAAAGCATTGGATCTAAAGACAGAGACTTCCACTTGCAAGCCACATGTACAAGATCATATGGGTTTAGTAAAAACATCAATTAGAATATCATTTCCGCAATCTAAGTACAAACACTCTTTGTATAAGGCACCCTATTTGGACGTTCAGGGTTCCAGTCAAATCACTCAGATGTATTAGGCACACAGCAGCGCTTAACTTGGATGAAAAAGAAATGACATTATACAGTTTTTCCCTTCAATGTGGGGGTGGTGTTAGAAACACTAGAGCTTGTATAGACCTAATCTTTAGTTTCACACAAAAAGGGTGCCCATATGTTTGAAACTATCTTCTCACACAACCACCCAGACTACTACTATTATACCGAGTTATGGCCCTAACAGTATTCAACTTAATTATTGCAAATAAACCTTCATGATTCAAAGGCAAAACTAATACCTGGCTCAATCGGGGTCGACGCCGTGCTGAATGACGCACACAAGCAGCAGCACAAGCAACCATGCGAGCCATCTCATTGTGGTTGTATTCCTTCTGCAACCGTGGATCGACAAGAATATCAAAGTTTCCATCTTCCAAAGTTCGGGTGAGCAAGGGCCTTGCCTGCAACAAAATTAATATTGTTAGTTTTATGATTAGAAAACTACAACACTCCAGGCTTAAGAAAGTATAAGGGGGAAAAAAAAAACGCTCTTATAAGCAGAAAGACAAACAACTCCACTAGAATTGTGTGCATATTATCCCGCCTTTTATCAAAAGATGGATATGTGGCCATTTCGTGGAAAGATAGTGGTGGTGCAAGTAAATACTCACCCAGTCTACTAAACTATCATCCATGTAGGATTGAGCCGTGTCAACAGGTCGTCGTCCAGTAATCAACTCCAGAAGCATTACTCCAAAAGAGAAAACATCTGACTTGTCCGTAAGTTTTCCAGAAGAAGCATATTCAGGAGCCAGGTATCTGGAGCATGTGAGAATTTCAAGGATATTTAATTAGCTGAAAGTTGATTACCCCAGCAATTTATATCACCATCAAAACTAAAATACCAAGCAACATATACCATGGAAAGGTTGGCCTTACCCAAAAGTACCCATAACCCTAGTAGAGATGTGAGTGTTGACTTCGGAAGAAATCTTAGCAAGTCCAAAATCTGCAACCTAAAGAAAACAAAATTCCAGGTTAATAACTCAATAACAATAATAAACATTAGTAGGACATTTAAATGCCAGAACAAATCCACTGAATTTAGTATTTATTTTATTTTATTTATTTATTTAAGTAAGATTCAGAATGAGCCAAGCCACTCCTTAAACTTTAAACTCTCACTGATCATATCTCATAGGTAAAAGGATCAAACTATCAATTTGTTTTGTGATAAAGTGAATCCATCCCCAAAAAGATCAATGATGAAGATCTCGGTAAGTGAAGTATCTTTACGCCCCTAGTTACCAAACAATTGGGATCAAATCCTGCATCAATCAACCCCAAAGGGGATAGCATAATGGCAAAGACTCTCACCTCAAATCTTGGAGGTCGGGAGTTCAAATCCCCTTGGGGCTACCCAAGGGAATTTTTCTGGTAATTGCCTGGTGGTGCTCTAAGAGGCCAGACACCACCATCGTCAACAAAAATAAATAAATAATAATAATAATAATAACCTTGCATCCATGCTGGTTTGGGAATTCATTGTAGGGGGAGGACTGTTGTGTAGCTCATCAATAGATGGACCAAGAAAAGAAACCAACTGGGAAGTTAATCAGGCGGTACATGGGCCTGACTTTAGATTTATTATATAGGTCACAAATAATGCACTATTCAAATTTTGAGAGTCCATGAGCCATGGCCTATTAGGGAAAAAAGGTCTTACCTTTGCCTCAAAGTTAAAATCCAGAAGTATATTAGCTGCCTTAATATCACGATGTATAATTTTAGGATGGCCTGCAAAAAAAATTATTTCAATTTAAAACATGGAATGTTTCCAATGTCACTAGCCAAAAGAATTTCTTGTTGTCATGAGAGATAGAGATGCATGAAAAAAACTTACAGTCCTCATGCAGATATGCTAGTCCTTTTGCAGACCCTAGAGCAATTCTTAGTCTTGTGGGCCAACCCAATACAGGTCTCCCCTTTGCTGAAAAATAATGTTCTCCATTAAATCCTTGTCACCAGATACATCATGCAACAACTAAAAAACAAAGGATATAGACTTGTAATCTAAATCAGATTGTGACGAACTCATTTTTATGATAGCAATACAGCCAATCGAGATAGATTGATATCAAACTGAGAAACAAATCGTTAATTGGTCCTAAGAGACTAAAAAAATATACTAACACCTTCCCATGACATAAACATTCAAAAGCAGCCAAAAAGAAAAAAATCATAAATTACTAAGACAAAAATTTGCATATCAGCATAATATGATTAACATCAGGAATCGATGCTGCAAATGTGGACTTACCATGTAAGTGAAACTCCATAGTGTTGTTTGGAACAAATTCATAAACAAGCAATCTTTGGGAACCAGCGATACAATATCCAACTAATGAAACAAGATGCTTATGATGCACTCGGCTAATGATCTCAACCTCAGCTTGGAATTCACGCTCCCCTTGCCCACTTCCAGCTTTCAGCTGCTTAATTGCAACTTCTTTTCCATTTGGAAGGACTCCTTTGTGCACATACCCAAAACCACCTTGTCCAAGGAGGTTGGCATTCGAGAAGCCATCTGTTGCCATTGCCAATTCTTCATATGTAAATGTGCTCTTTGAGAAACCTAAGGACATGCCAGGGGAGGGTGGCGGGAGTGCATTTTCAGACCCTGAATAGTTGGACCCAGAACCTCCACTGCTACTCATGAAAGGAGGCGGAGGGGGAGGTTGGGGTGTTAGAGAACGCACTGGTGAGTGTGGTGGCCGATATGCAACTGCAGGTGGAGGAGAGGGTTTTTGTGGCATTGAGACGACATGATCCCTTGGTGGAGGAGCATTCTGTTGCCAATTCTGTGGTGGGCCGCCATAACGATCATCTGGCAATTATTAACAAACACCAGAATGAGTGAGCAAATTGGGATAATTATTTAAGCAGAGGATTTCAGAAAAGAAGTAATTAGTCATACAATTCTGATCATAAATCCCTTACATATGCTTATTGTACTTTCTGAAAAGAATAATATTCTTTTCAAGCATTCAACATAGATAGTTACAAATTTGATGAAAAATATATGGTCATCTGCAAAATTAAACATATAAACACTATGTTGTTGCTTCTACTTTTTGAGTTTTACCTATTTGTTCTTTTTGTGTGTGTTTTGGGGGGTGTTATCTTGCTATGATTCTTTTACCCTTGACAAACATGTGAGGATAAGTGATGTTTGTGGTAAATTCAATCATTTCATTTCCATGCTGTCTTGAAATGTCCGTTAAATGGATATGACACAATGCACAAAGAAAAGAAATTTCAAAATAAAATTAGTAGAAATTATCCTTCCTTGAAGCTGTTCAAAACACAAGCACGCAGCCCATGTAGGAGAGTAAACCAAAAATGAGTACAGAAATAAAATTAAAGACTACTTAAAAATGCAATAGAGGAATGCTGAAGTTGGAATTATTTTCCCTAATATGTCAAAATTTATTCTTTGTCAAACCAAAGTTTTTTGAGTGTCAAGTAAGGAAATGCCCTCAAATGTCACAACATTCTTTAATGATGAAACATCTTTTTTCAAATCGTTGAAAAAATGAAAATTTTCCTATAGAAAAATATTAAAAAATTATTGCACAATTTTTATATCCCAATGGAGCTTTGATAAATTAAACTTCAAATAAAAAATTCAATGTCAGACCCGAAATTTTCTAACATGAGATCAGTAAAATGCATGTCTAATTGCATTTGAAAAATAATAGCACTTCATGTAAATTCAGAATTCATGAAAAAACAGTTAGGACTAGATCTTAAAAAAATGACTCACCTTTACGTCCATGTCTAATTGGATTTGAAAAATAATAGCACTTTATGTAAATTCAGAATTCATGAACAGAATTCATGAAAAAACAGTTAGGCCTAGATCTAAAAGATGACTCACCTTTACGTCCATGTGGTGGTGGAAGGTAGTAATCATGATCTCTTCTTTTCTTTTTCTTGCAACAAACAAACAAAATACTCAAGATTGCAAGAATCAGTACACCACCAACAGCAATTCCAACGACGAGGCCAGTGGAGATGCCCGATGAGCTTGACGGAGGTGATGGAGACGTTGAGGATGACGGAGGCGGCGGCGAAGATCTTGCAGTCCCCGTAGGCGGTGGTGGACTCCGATTTGACGGCGGCGAAGGCGTTGACCCCGCCGGAGGAGGTGGAGATGAGGAAGAAGTCGGCGGTGGCGGCGAAGGCGGAGAGGTTGATGGAGCTGGAGTTGACGGCGGTGGCGGAGAGGTTGATGGAGCCGGAGTTGACGGCGGTGGCGGAGAGACTGATGGAGCCGGAGTTGACGGCGGAGGAGGTGAAGTAGCCGGCGCTACGGGTGGCGGCGGAGAAGCAGCAGGAGGGGGAGATGTCGCAGGAGGTGTCGGATTAGATGGAGGCGGGGCAGTTGCCGTCGGCGGGGGTGCTGCCGCCGGCGGTGGCGGTGATGTGGTGTTGGTGGATGGTGGGGATGTGGGAACCGGAGCTGCTCCCGGTGGTGGTGATGACATTGTCGGATTCCTTTATATATGAATATTACGTATATGCATACATAAAGATAAATAGATATAGAGAGAGAGTAGAGAGTCCTATCACCGGGGATGGGTATTGGAGGTGATTCTCTTGTTCTTTTGCGTTTGTTTCTCTCTCTGGATTTTTGAGCGAGAGAGAGAGAGGATGTGAATTTGAAAATAGTTGGTAGAGTAGGAGACGAATCGTCTTAGTACTTTTGATGCAGGAAGTGTGAAGTTTATTTGTTTTAGTAGTTGCTTTTGAAAACTAAAAGCGAAACGAAAGGGGTATTTGTGTCAAGAGAGTCTGCGTTCACATGGTGGAAGAATGCTTAAATGCTCGAGTGGGACCCACACGGCTGGCCCGCGCATCTCTCCTGTCATTACTCGTTTGGATATTTAGTCTTAATTTGGTAGTAATATTTATACGGAGTAAATAGTATCTAGAGTATTTTATTTTATTTTTTAATTAAGCTTAAATGGAGGAGTGTTTGTATTAAAATAGCACAAAATAGAAAAGGACAAAAAAAAAAAAAAAAAATCAGATAGCAATACAACAAAAATAGAAATTTAGAAAATGATTATTTATTTAATGAGACCATTATATGGTGTTAGACAGCAGTATTTTGATGTTAGTTAACATGTAAGCTTCATCAAGGTCGTTCCAAGTCCAACCGTCTAACTTTAAATATATATATTTTTTTAACATACAAGTCGTAATTAATACAAATTCCAGTCTTGGGTGAAAAAAGATTTAATACAAATTTAAGTGAAAAAGGATTTTATAAAAACTCTATTTGGTTGGTAATTTAAAAAAAAAAAAAATTAATTTTTTTTATATATATGTTCTCATAATTCTCTTTGATATTGTGTAGTATCACGTGAAAGATCAAGAAAAATCACATGTAAACAAATATCATTTTTTTCTTATTCCCTCTTACACTCTCTCTTCCTTCATAATTTTCATGATAACTAAAGAAAATAATAATAATTTCATACTTTTAAAATTCAAATTTTATTTTATTGAGAATGTTTCTAAACTAATATGAGATAAATGCAAACAATTTGAAACTTTTCTTCTTCTTTTTTTTATAATTTTTTCAAGGTTCAATATGAAGCTAAAGAATTGGCAAAGGAATAGGAATTGGTTGAGAGATTCCAATTATGCACGCCATTAGAAAATGGGTATTGACGTGAAAACAGCTTAAGGACCTCCTTCATTCCTCAACTGAACTTTCCGATGACCAACAAATTGGCATTGCCATCCTCTCTCTCTCTCTCTCTCTCTCTCTCTTACACACACACACACAACTTAAAAGAAAGCAGTGGAAGGATAGTTTTTTTTTTAGAGTACCAATTAATATCACCTCTCAAATAAAAATAAAAAGGGAAACATATAAATGACTAATCATTTTAATTAATAAAAAAACACTAGTACCTCATTTTTAATTTCACCCACCCCAACCAAACCCGAAGAGAAATAACCATCATATGCCCCCCCAAACAACCAACTTTTTGTCCCACTCATGCGTTGTTGAGAACCGAAAATGGAAGGCATCTTTTTAAATTAACGTTAAACTATGTGTTTTTGCAATTTTTAGCTTCAATATTTTAAAAAGGTTTTGTTTGTTTGGATGTATCATTTTTTCTTTTTCTTTTTAATGATGTTTGTTTGTCATAAAATATTTACGAAAAAATAATATCAAAATTTAATAAAAATAAATTACTTATCAATTTTCAGCAAGTTATTTATTTATACGCTTTTCATAGATTCAATCTTAACTTTGACTTTGACCTTTTTCAAATATCAAAAATAAAAATAAAAAATATATTTTACTTTTTTGAAAAAAAAAATTATACATCAAGTGAAAAAAAAAAAAAAATTGCAAAAAAGTAAAAAAGAAAATCAAATTGGAAGACTTTAATTGCCTTATTTATTATATAGGAGATGGTAGTTCTAAAGTTGATTTCATTTTTTCTTATGGAATCGTAGAAATATTTGGAAAATGCAAACAAAGCAATGCATGATTGGATGAAATCATGAAGTAGACAGTTAGGAAAGGTGAGACTTATTTTTGTTAGAATAAATCATTTATGTTCAAATTACTTTTAACAGAAATGATTATTTATGGTTAATTAATTAATACAAGGTCAAAGATTAGGTAATCTATATTAATATATTTTTCCCTGTTTGTGTATAGCTTTGGCTGTTACTCTAAGTAACCAGCTGGAAACCAACATCTAACCATAGATGAAGATTTGACGCGCTTCCTGCAATGGACCATTTCTTTATATATATATATATTTAAAATTAAAACATTTTTAAAACTAATTCACTGTTAATATTATTAATTGGATAGTTAATGATAAAATATAGCACCGAATCCGTTCCCTTATTATTATTGGATAATTATTAATTATAAAATATGGCACCGAATTTGTCACCTTATTTAGTATTATTATTCTTAATTTATCCTATTTTGGTCCCTTTGATTGAGGGAATGATTTCATACAAACCTACATCTATTTATATCATTTTTCGAATTGTCTAACTGAATAATTTTAATTAACTATTTATATGGAATACAAGTAAATGAAGGGTTCTACTTCCTTATGAGTAGTGATACTTATATCATATTTATAGTGAATTGTCTAATCAAATAATTTTTAATTAACTATTTATACCAAATACAACTAAGTGGAAGTTTCTACCTCCTTATTTGTTATATAATTGATTAATTAAAATAATAATCTAGCAATTCACAACAACTATCATTTTTTATTCTTTATTTGTTATATAATTGATCAATTTAAAAAGTAAATTTAACAATTTAGTGTAACTATTCAGTGGAAGAATCATTTTCTAACCGAGAATGACTATTTTTTCCTCCAATTTGCATTCTGATAATAACATAGAAGACTTCATTGTTTTATTATTTGTATGAAACAATAGATTTTGTTGCATAAAACAGTTGCACCTTGAAACATGTTCATATTGAATTTTGTACCACACAAGTCTGATATTTTTTTTAAAAAAAAATAATAATAAAAAAAAAAAAACTCATGATATTCTATATAAAAGGAGTTGGCCCCACCCTAGTGCATGTTTTCCATTCATATTTGTTCCTTTTATTAAGGGTAGCATTTTTATATTATTTTATATATATATATTTATGTATATGATAGTTGCATCTCTTATCAATACTTACCTATTCATACTATCTTTTGACCGAATCTAATAATCACACATCATTTTTAATTATTAATTTAAAAAATTGAAAAGAAAAGAAAATAAAAATTTGAGTTAATTCAGATTCATTTTTCTTATTTATTTATTTTAATTTTATAATTAAAAGATATGTGTGTATTTGTGATTCGAGCGAGAGCATCTCCAGCCATCTGTTAAATTATTTTTTTGTATAAAATATACACTGTCACATATGATGTGTAATTTTTTTTTTTTTTTTTTTTTACTCCAGCAGTCTGTTAAAATACACTATCACGTCACCAACTTATACAATCTTTTTACACATCTACATTACTATATTTCCTTTCTCTTCAGTCTTTCTCATTCTATTAATGAATCAATCCATATTAATAGTAGATTTGTAATTATGAGGGATTCAGGCATGACACTGATTGGTTGTTATTGGGAAGATATATTTTTATACCTTCAATCCCAAAATTTGAGCAACATAAATTGGTCAACGATCGGCCATTTGGTATTTTGTCATTCTTTGAATACTGTAGTAATATTTTGAAATTGAAATTTGATTTTAATCACATGTTAAAAATAATTGGAAACAACAAACTCCAAACATTATTTTCTCAAAAAAAAAAAAAAATCCAAACATAATTATAAATTTATAGTTAATTCTCGGATCAATGTCAAATTGTTCTATTGCAATAAACTAAAATCATGTGTATATGTGATATAGACCAATTGGGTTCAAATCAATATAACAAAAAAAAAAAAAAATCACACAAAATGTACTATGTCAAACCATTCAATCGCATTTCACATTATCACATAACATTTAAAGGTTATATGAAAACAATAGGGCCAAAAAGAAAGTGAAGAAAAAGAAATGGAAGAAGTATGCAAGCCGGCAATGGCTTCTAGAAAAATATGACCGTTGATGAGCTGGTTGTATGGCATGTTTCGTTCGACTAAGCATACTTTGACCATGTTGTTAGTCATTTGCGTTTGAAAGCTACACATTCCCTGTACAAATGAGAGAAGATAACATTGTTTTGAAAATAAGATTGACATTTGGGTAAAGAAGAAGTTGAGTGTGTGAAGTCTGTCAGGGCAATATTGTAAGTGATTAAATGCGTAGACGTTTATTTAATTTTTAAAAAAAATTTAGAATAAATAAATAAATAAACTAATTACGAGTGTTTACAAATTGCAATATTGAGATATAAAGGTCCGCATGAAAGCATTAAAGAAAAAACATATTCATGACTTTTGTTTTTCCTCCACATTTAAAGCAATTCGTGGTGGAACTTTGCAATCATATTAGGGTCCGCAATTTGCAAAAGCTGAGGCTCGGCTCTCTCATTCTGTGCTATATAAACTTTTCATATAAGTAATATATGTTCCTAATATATATATATGTGTGTCACGCGCGCGTGTGCATGTATGTATTTATGGACACTTTAAAACAGATTACATGATTTGTAATATCGGTCACGATCACAGTATTAATTATTATTATAATATAACAAAGTCGGACAAAGTCAGTATAAATTGACCGATACAAATTACGTATCAAACTTAAAAAAAAAAATTCATATAAATTGATACGTTTGCCACGCCGAATCTTCACAAAATGGATATAGGATTTAGATGTAGGAGTTGCTTTATTTACTTTTGACAGGGTTTGACTATTATGATTTGGGGCATGGTCATATTATTATATTCTTCACATAATTTGTGGCATGATACTCGCTTCTGCGACTCTGACTAAAGGCAAACATTCAGCTCAAACCAGCTTTCCCACACATATATATATATATATATATATATATATTCTCCATTAATGAATTCATTTCTCATCATCTTAACAATTTGTCTCTTAAGATTGAGTTGTCTTATATTTTTCATGTCATAGTTTTCTTCCCTGGTTGTTGGAGTATACTTCTCCGAATGTACGTCAGGAAAAAGAAAACTAGAAACAATATATTACGTATATGTCAAAATTTAATATGCGGAAAAATTTGAGAAAATAACATGCTTCTATTTCTTTTCGGAGGGCAAAGACATTATTCTGCTCTAAAGAAAATCCTTCACTCTTATTACCTGATGATGTAATTCCGACATGAGAGATGATTTAAGCCCATTTAAATTACATTATCATTTACTTATTTATTAGATAATAATTATAAAATATGAATAACCCAAGTTCACTAGAATCACTACATCTTTTCCATTTAATAATATTACAAGGTTTAAGAATAAACTTTAATAATTTAATTTACTTGTATCTTTCTCATTTATCTTTTTCGAGAAAATGTTACTTGCCTCTCAAAGTAAATAACCAAACTAAATCCTTTTTCACATATAGGATCTATTAAAACTTGAGGAATTAGAATATTGATTGTAATCCATTACGGAGCTTTTTCCAATAGAATTAGATATAAAGAAAAAGCAATTAATCAAAATCAAAATCACAATATAGAGGAAAATTCACACAGAGAAAGGCTATAAATTTCTTTTCTCAAGGTCAGTTGCATTGTGGAATCACGCCTTGTATTTTTCTTTTTCTTGAGTCAGTATTTTATTATTTTAATTACTAAACATTTCTTATATACAAAAATATTCTAAATTATTATTATTTTTTAAAATGATAAGGAGACCTTTGTAATTTTATTTATTTTAGGGGTAAGTAGAAAACCACAAGTCACCGTCACCGTCAATTTAACAGAATTTAGTAAATTACAGCTATTTCCTACTTACTATTGACGTTACTTGTTTTTCCACCAGTGACCAGACTAGACCTCCTAAGAATTCAGAATTATTGTGAGAAACAAGAAATTGATGCCAATTTGTGTCGAGAATTTTGGGAGCTAGGAGCATGATTACAGGAATTACTATTAGGTCCGAAAGCGATAGATTGAGATTGAAAATTTTCACGATACCTTCAAAATAAATCTTAAATCTCCACCAATTGCGCCTTCTAATTTCTAGATGTGGATACCATTACTAAAAAGTGATCCTCATGATAAGGAAAATGATATATTCATGATTTTATCACTAAGCATAATTAACTTTCTTTGTTTTTTTGAGAAACCCTCACTCAAAATTTTTTTTGAAGCTAATTTTTTTTTTTTCTTGAATTATTATGAAATTTCCTTACTATTTTGATGTGCTTCAATGTTGACCTTTTTGATGATTATGGTACAGAAATAATATAGATCTTTATACTTTTGGAAAGAAAATATTGAGAGAATAACTACCCTAAAAAAAAAAGGAAAGAGTGACTTTCATGAAGAAATCCGAGTATTTACCATTTATAAAAAAGTGGAAAGAATGACTTTGATAAAGAAATACTACATCAGATTTACCATTTATGATACAATCTTGATTTTTTTATTCTGGTGAAGTACGGCTAAGCGAGCATCTCCAATCGTTATGTGTGTGTGTGTGTATATATATATATATTTGTATAAATATGATGTGTCATTATAAATTTACACAAAAAATTTGAATTGTTTATTTTTAACTCCAATGGTTGTTTTATATATTTTGTGTAAAAATATATCCCTTAATAACAACCAACCACTTGTCATGCCAGACCCCACATAATTTTTACAAACTAGTAATATAGAGTTAATTCTTTAATGGAATGAGAAAGAAAGAGGAGAACGAAAATATATTGTGGCTGTGTAAAAAAGTTGCATAAAATATATAACAATTTTATATATTTGTAAAAAAGTTGCGTAAAATATATAACAATTTTATACATTTGTAACATAACAGTGTATCTTAACAGATTGGTGGACATAAAAAAATTCGTTGGACATAAAAAAAATTTACATGTCATATGTGGCAGTGTATATTTTACCGTATATATTTTATACAAAATAGTGTTTTAACAGGTTGCTGAGATGCTCTAATGTTTGAAATTAATGAAAAATTTAAAATCCAAGTCTGTGATATTTATATGATGGTGTATTTGCTCTACATTTCAAAATAAAAGTGTTTGAATAGTGTGTATTTTTTATCAATGAAAAAAGAAAAAAAAATTTAAATAAAAGAAGAAGTAGAAGATAATATCCGTCGACCTTTCAAAGTGAAACAGTTTGATATTGATATCTTTGTAAGTTTATGTATATATATTTTTTTATCTCTATGAAAAAGAAAAAGGAAAAGAAAAAAAGGTTGGTGATGTTTATAACCACATTAAAGTTGATGTTGTGGTATAACCACCACTAATAAATTGAAATTCGGAATATAATTTTTGATATATAATCTATACTTGAAAAGTTCCACCATCTCTACGTTGGCCATTCGTGTAGACAGGCTAATGCCATGGCCCATCAACTTGATTCTCTCAGCATAATTTCATCCGAACAAGTCAACCTTCCTAATTGTGTTTTCCATATGAAGTTCTGACTTTTATTCTACTGTTTCTCTTGTTTATTTTACGCTTTTTTGTTTGCCAGTAAATTAATAATAAATTGAAATAACCAAATAAATAAAAATAAAAGGAGCTCCATTGCAGGGGAGGATCTTGATAAACAATCTTAAATTCAATCTAATTCAATATTTGACACAACTTTTCATTACGAGTACAATATACACTAAAATATTTTTGCTTGATTGAGATCCCATTGAGAGATGTTCTGATTGAAAATTGAAAATTGAAAATCTGTTTGATATCATATTACAACAATTTATGATATTTTTCTACCTCAAAATCATAAAATGCTCCAACAAATAATAAATTCAAGCGATAAGAAAAACAATAATAAAAACTCATTTATTTTTATCTTATTACATTAGGGGAATTCGAATTCCCTTGGGGGCACCCAAGGAATTATTTCACTAATTGTTTGCTTTAATTTTTTTAAAATTATTTTTTGCAAACTCAATTATAAATATACTTATTTTCAGATTATGTTTTCGAGTTTCTAAGAATTATTTTTAAAATTATAAACCAAACAAATCGATGATTTTGATGAAAGATTGGATTAAGTTTAAGTTTCAACAATACAAGACCTAGCAAATAAGTTAAATAATTTCTCTGAACAGACTCACGGCCCAAAACTCAGTTTTGTACATAGATTTGTACATCAAAGTTCAGCCCAACTCAAAGCTTAGCTACCTACTTCCATCAATATTCGGCCCAACACCATTGACTACGAAGGAAATCAGAAGTCACTCCTCAGTGTTGTCCGAAACCAGGAGTGCGCGTATAGCGAATTACTCATACACCATTTACAATGGATAAATAAATAAGGGTAAATTGCCTTGACAACTCTCATATTTGGGTTAAAGACAATCATTTACAACTTAACCACTTTTGAAATGATAACACCTCACAAATTTGGTAAAATGAATAAAAACACTTCAATTAGGATAAAAGTACGTACTTGTTCTTTGACTTCTTAACTGACCTATGTGAAGTACTAAATTAATTATTTTTATAACCTCATATTAATTGACCAAAATAACTCAAAAATGAAAAAACAAATATGATTGTATAGTGACATGTTTTTGTTATTTATTTATTTATTTTTTTGTGGAAGAAAAATGTGATATGTTGTGTAAGTTCAGTAAACACTAAGAAATAAAAAAATTAGCTTGCATTGTGATTCCTTGAATTTGATATTTAATGTATGCCTATTAAAAATGGCCTTTTAATATTTAATATATTACTATGAAATAATAATAAAAATATATTTAAAAATCATATTACTTACTTTTTGAGATGAAAAATCAGAATTTTGTAAATAATATAACTAATCCATCTATTTTAGCCGTTTGTTTTGCGAGTCGGATAAAAAGACTTATAAAGGTTAATATTATGCTTTGCGAGTCAGATAAAAAGATTTATAAATGTTAATATTGTACTTTAATGATTTGAATGAGTCAATTCAAAAGTCAAAAAAGCAATCTGTACGCTCATCTTGGTTGAGAGTGTTGTTGTTCAGTTTGCGTGCTTCACACTCTCCCTGCCCGAAGTTATATCTATGGGTGTAAGTACAAATTACCCAATAACTAAATAAAAATAAGTAGGCAGGGATGAAGAGTGGTTGTCTGAAATTGACCATCCAACAAATAAAGACAATGGCAGAAACAAGTTCAATTGAAGAATTACTAAATTGTTTGGAGCACAAACCTTTGAACTGAGAATATACACAAATAAATGCACACACTAAAGAAGAAATAATATTCAATCAACTACAACAGCTCTACATGTTACAAATTATAAGCATCCCAATGGAGAATGCTTCGTTCATTGATGAAGCGATTGCTGGGCCTTTATGTTGTTTACAGAACCCAAAGAACCTGTCCAAAACCCTACTAAATGATGGGTGAAATACTTGGACTTGTGATCTAATACAAACACCCATAATGCTGTTGAGAGCAAATTTTAAGCATGCAAGAGTGCGTCTATTTGTACGTGTGCCCTAGCTTTCTACTACCTCGGTAACTTCAGCAACGCTGCTAGCTAGTATCAGTCAATAGACGAAGCAGTCTTGTAGCTATAGCTTTTTCTAGTTACGGCTGAGTGTAAAAGTTCTCAGGTTCCAGGAAATGTGCTGGCTGTACTAGAAAGGATTATGAATGCACATACAACAGAAAGTGAGAAGACAGAGACCCAAGTATTTTCTGTGTACATTTCCATGGCATCCGTGAAAGAAAAACGCGTGCGGCTTTCAGCCCAGTTACGAAGTCTATCCGCTTCTGCTGCATATAATGCTCTTCCCTGAAAAACAAGTAGGAATCAGTTTTCTGCTTCTTTAAGCAATAAAAACAAATTTTAGAATGAATTGGGCATTTGCCTTCACTGTTTTTCTGGGGGTAAAAAGGCAGATGTCATCAAGGAGTCCCATTAAATTATGAGCATCTTAATGACTCAACAGTAGTATAAGTCCAAATCTTGAAGTAGGTAAGACTACTTAGTAAATTTATGATCAGACATGCAGCCCCAAGAGCAATAAGAGTAATTTAAAACATAAGCTTCAGAGTATCATAGTGATGTTCCAAAACTTCCTCACTGCACGGAGTCAGTATCCCAGCCCAATAGTCATGGCGATAAGTAATGGAGCCATGGATTCCTGGATGCACCTTTGCCATGGTTGAGTGAGTTCAAAGGTAGAAAATCCAATTGGTAAAGTTTAGAATACCTTGTCATCAAACCAACGACCTCTTCGAAGCCACGCAGTGACCAAAGCAAGTAAGATCCTAGGTGGAGTCAAGTAATTGATGGCCTTCCCATTTCCCTTTACAACACGCATGCGTGGAACTAAAGTTCTAGCAACTGTTTCTGGGAGCTCACAGATGATGTTAAACATCTGTTTATTTTGAATAGTTGATCCACTGCAAACATGCCAAAGACAAAGTTTTTTATATTATTACAATTGTTACATCTTAATGAACCAACTCCACAAGAATAAATATTTTGAAATTGTAAGTTCCGTTGATGCAATTCCATGGTCTGACCCATGCACAGAGGTACATGGGGCTCTTTTGGTAAAGCTCAATTCATCGACTAAAAATAAAGTTGGAGCAAACAATTCTAGTTTAAAATCAATTACTTCATTAAAAATAATAATAATAAAAAAATCATAAGGTACACAAGTACATTGCAGGAAACAGAATATACCCAGCTTACCTCAAGAGCAAGTCTGTCAGAACCATGCCTGGAGAGGCTGTATGCACTCCCACCTTCGACCGTTTACACTCCTTCAAGAGTGATGACTGTAACTGCCTAAGACCACATTTTGTTGAACCGTAGCTATGGATCAAAAAGGATAAACCAATGTTAGCATCATCAGTAAAATTCAGGAATTAGGGAAGAGCACACCAATGAGTTTGTTAATAACAATATTTTAGTCCTGGAGAAACTCTCAGTCTTTTCACCCAAAAAAGGAAATCTTGCCGTATTTGACATGACTTACACAGCTGTCAAAGGGGTGCTAGATCCTCCAGAGCCTGCACCATCCATGTTAAATATGTGGCCCGCCTTGTACTGGCTTCCCATTACACGCATGGCTTCACGAGTGCAAAGTATTGATCCAACCAGATTCGTAGAGACAATCTACCCATACAGTTATGAGAGAACAAGTGGACTAGTTAGGATTGTAGTCACCAACAAAACTAAATAAAGATCAAGTACACACAGGACCAGAAGGTTAACTATATTATACCAGAAAGAAATTCCACACACAACAAATGAAAACGTATTGATGTGCTGTGTGTGTTCCACCTGCACACGCACACACACAACACACTCACAGAGAGAGAGGTTGGACTTATCCACACACGATCTTATTTATTCATTGGTTAAAGATGTTGCTATTAAGAGACTGCTAAATGAGAGAGGGAGACAGAGAAGAAACATAACAGGTTCTAAAATAAGATCATATTCTAATGAACCCAAGCAATTATCTTCCAATGCTCCCACAAAGCAATTGCTTGCTGATTGCAGAGAATGAAGAATCATCTTGATGCTTGATGAGTTTTTAAGAAAATTTCATTTTCAAAAAACAGAAGACAATAATTTTTTAATAAAGAATCTAAAAACAAAAAATTAGCAGAAATCATCTAATTGTGTGCATACCTGTTGAATATCTTCGTCACTGAACTGTAGTAAGGGCCTGAAACCTTTGTTTGTCCCAGCATTGTTTATCTGTAAAAACAATTAGGATAGTGAGAGAATATTCTGATATGCATCCTAAATGGAACAAGAGTCTCTTTCACTATCTGAACCATCAAGATTCAAACTTAACATACTATCCACAAGCAAAGTAAATATGGATACTACCCATCTGATGTATGTGTTTGTTGTATTCTTAAGAACACCACATAACATAAGTCTCCAGATGAGCAAATAGTTAGATGTGAATGCCAGAGAACAGAGAAGATGAGCTGAATCACTAACCCAAATGTCAATTGAACCAAGTTCGTTGATGGCAAAGTTCGACAATTTTTGCACATCATCTGGTTCACAAACATCACACGCAATGCCTACCACTTTTGCATGTTTCAGATTTTTTCTAGCTGAGTCACCTGCAGGTATCATACCTTCCTTCAGATTCTCCTCGAGCTCTTTGATAGTCATGTCCACAGACTCGGAACTGCCTTCACAATATCCAAGCATTGGTAAGAAGTTGTGAGAGGAAAATTAATAGGCAAATAAATAAACAAATTCAACACTCTGGACACCACCTGCGTGAAGTAACAACTACACGATCTCCTGAAAGAAGAAATTCCCGAGCAAGAGCTTTCCCCAATCCCCTTGTACTGTATCAAACAGTTACAACTTACAAGGATTAACCAATAGTATGGATTCTATAGAAACATAACTTCTCCAAATCACAAACTACACCATAGCCTATCCAAGCAGACTGTAGTTGCATTCAAAATATATATACAGTAGAAGGAAAAAAGAAGGAACTTCAAAAGTAATGCTTAAAAGGAAAAAGCTACTAATTAAAAGAAAATGGCCATAACACTTCACCATTTTGTTTAAGAATCTAAAATCAGTGAACAAATTAATAACTCTGTATGAACTATGGCATCACAGATGGAAGTCCTTTACTTTTAATTCATTAAAGCTATATTTTAGAGCACCGAATGGCACCTTGGAATTGGAAATGGAGAAAATTTAATTCAAACTTTCAACTAAATTTCTTCCAATTCCAATTTCAAGCCGCCGATTTGGTGCTTCGGTGCTTCCAAACGCAACGCAAGTTAAAGGAAAAGGCTTGGGGCAAGAGTAATAACTTTGACAACTGTTCATAGGATGCTCAAAGATGTAACTACATAAAAATTGAACAAAAATGTTGAAATTTTTAGGGAAGTACAGACCAAATAGCTAATAAAATTCCAAACAAAGGATGAAGTGCCTTCCACCATTAGACCATATATAAGGATACCTTCCAGTTATGACAACATTTCGTGGACCAGCTTTACTGACTTCCTCTAGAACCATGTTGGCACCTATCATAGTCCCAATAATGATACCTCCAAGCCAGCTATACCATATCAAAGCATTCATCTGGCTGTCTCCACCTTCACAAAATTTTCAAACAATTCAATTTCAAAACTCAGTAATCTGATATCAACGCATATATGTGTATACAACAAAGTGAAAATTGTCTAACCTGACAGCTGAAATCCAATCAAGAGTATTACTCCAGTGCTCATCATTGTCACAATGTATCTTCCAATTTGCATAGCAGCCTGGCCATTTTAGAGAGAGAGAAATGACTTCAACATGTAAAACACCTAATACTTTTAATTTCAGGCATAGTCAATATATTTAGCTAGACAGATTAAGTGGAAGCTATAAAGCATAATAAGAATCGATTAATTTCTGTTTCTTTCATCCAGAAAAGCTAGGGAAAAAGAATTGAACATTTTCATTATTTGATAAAAATAAAATAAAAAATATAAAAAATATAAAAAAAATCAATCCCCCAGCTGAGTCCAGTTCAACTAGTTAGCCAATTAAGGTCAATTAAAAAACATATACTCCGAATGAAACAGTACAAATACGAATAAGAAATTTTCATTTTTCCTTGTTAAATTTACCGATTTTCTAAGCAGCCAAACAACAGGTAAAAGAAACCAGAGAACAAAAACTAATACTACTCACCGCGAACAATTTCTCCTCCAGTTTCGCTACTGCGTTCCGAAACTCTGCATCAGACCGCGAACGTGAACGAGGATCCACAAATACCGCAGATTTCAGAAAATCCAGAACTTTGAACCTCCTTTTAGAGTCCAACTGATCATTTTCCTTCAAATTCTCACACTTTCTCGCAACTTCCGTTTGTTTCTCGGCCAACTCTTCCCCTCCCTCCTCGGATCTAAAGGACCTGCACGGTCGCACACACACTCCTTGGCGACCTTTACATTGCCCTATAAGAGAAATTGAGTCTAAAAACACTAAATTACGGCGAAAACCCCGTCGGACCGGCGGTATTTGGCCGGTTCGGCGGTAGTCGAGCGGTGATATATGGAGATTTGCCACGGCGGGCATGGTGGCCGATCGAAATGGTTAGGTATAGGTTCGACAAGTGGTCCGATAATTGTGTAGTTACAATTTTTGTGGCCAATTTTTTTTTTCCTTCTTCTATCTCACTCACTCAATCACTCTAGCTGTGTCGAACCTCTTGTATAGAAAATTAGAAAGAGGGTTTTGCATATTTAGCACGCAAATACGAGTAGAGAAGCGTGATGACCACACGTTACTGCAACCTCATCTGCATGATATTTGTTTGCCACGTGTAGTGTTGTTTGTTTGATTCATCATGATATTTCTTTTTTTTTTTTTTTCGTAATAATGATATTTGTTTCTTTCTTTCAGCAGTCCAAATTCCACCAACTATAACTCGTAACCGTATACGCGTTGCGGTGCAAGTTGAGTGAAAGTAACTCTGCTGATATTTTTATGAGTTTGTAGGATCATGTCTATAATTACGAGGAAAATTTAGTTTAATCTAAATAAAATTGTTGCAAAATGGTCCTAAAATAAATTAAAAGAAAAATTAATTGTAATCAAATATAAAATTTATTTACTCTTATTCTCTTAATTTTTTTTTTTCACTTAAAAGAAACTTTTACACTCATATGCAGAATATTGTCTCTCCCTTTCTTTAACAATAGTCCATTCATTCCTTCCATTCTTCTAATTAACTCCCAAATTCACCAACCTTAAGTTCTATTTAATGGCAGAACTATAATGGCACTTTACAAATATAATTTCTTCGTAACATTATTAGTCATGAATCATAGATTCTCATACCACACGTTTAACAATCAAATACGTTAGACATATACGTTATTAATATGCCTATTCAATCAAAATACGCCATTTAAATTAGTTGAGCAAATTTTTTTGTTTGATTCTAACCCACTTTATTGAATAGTGTATTTTGCAGTTGAGTGCGCATGCCGCCAGCAATATTGCATCATCCAATGTCCACACGCTATTCTTGTGTTTTTGTAGATTTGAATAAGATGATCTGCCCCTTACGCCATATGAATCAATCTCCTTCAGCCCCTTACGCCATATGAATCAATCTCCTTCAGCCATAGAAAATGTTGTCGCATTAGAGTTAATTTCTGACCCGATCACTCGGTGTGTAACTGTGTTTTTATGTATTAGTAGTTGAAAATCGAAATAAAGTTTAGACTTAATACACCAACCACCAAATACTAAATCTATTGGGTCAACTCGAAGCAGTTGAACATATGATTTAACTTGACACACGAGATCCACTAACCCCCGAAAAAGATCCAATATAGCAGAAAATAAAAAGAAAAAGATATAAAATAAAAAAAGGGATTTGATTAAAGAAAGAAAATGGAAATTTCTTTGAAAAGAATAAAAAATAATAATAATACTTTAGAAGGTAAAAAAGTAAAGAAATAAATAATTAGAGAAATGTTTATAAGTATAATAATTTTAAGAGGGGCATTCTGTGTAATTTTATAAATTATAGGCATAAAATATACAGTAAGAAAAAAAAAAGAGAGAGATTATTGCAGTATATAACAGTACATAATACAAATTTTTTTTTTTTTTTTTTCCACAGTACATAATACAAATGACATTACAATTTTAAATAAAGAAAAAAATGGTGAAACAAAATTTATGCGGCTGACACATCAGTTAAGCTTTACCACAACACTCCGTAGTAAAAACTTGAGCTTCCTCCGCTTAGATGAAAGATTATGAAAATTATAAAATCTTAAGCCTTATGATTTACTATATCTCTTAGAATAGTTTTATGTTATTAATAAATTAGAAATCATAATAGTGTACAAAAATTTTATTTTGTTCGATTTTATGAAAATTTAATTATAAAAATTCATTTTTTCAAATAGGTGTTTTTTATAATTTTTAAAAAAAAATTTAATATTTTTTGAGTTTTTTGAAAACTGTTTAAAAAAAAATTAAAGTAAACAAATTCATTAACTTTTCAAAGAGGTCTTGAACAGTAGCAAAAATATGTTTGCCAACATCTGTTGGGTACCACATTTGTTTGAGAAAAGAACTCAAATATGAATGGATACATTGTTTTTTAAAAACAATTATAAATAAAATAGAAAATTCCCTTCCAAGAATTATAAAAGACATTCCTTTTCACTTTTTATAAAACTAAAATTACAACAGCTCTTATATATATATATATATATATTTGGTCACACACACGTGTTTTTTCTGAGACTTGAGATTGATATCACTAGGCCACTAGCCCGTTGGTCTATTCATATACTTTGAAACATTTATTTTTTTTAATAAATTTTTTTTTTTCATTTTCAAAAGTTCAAACAAACATAAAATTACCATGTGCTTATTTGACAACTGTTTTTGCTTTAAATTTTGTGTTGCACGAAGTGTATTGTAGCACAGCAAAACACTGAAACACATTTGATAATTTATGTTATATTTTGAATAATATCGATTTTGCTATCAAAAAGGCCCAAATCCAAAACACCACCAAATTGATGTTCGGTATTTTCTTTTATACAGTAGCAAAAGCATTGTAGCCCCAAAAGAAAATAGAAAGTTTAGGTGACTTTCTACCCATTTTGTTTCTCACTCTTAAAACATGTTCTTTATTAAATATGTTTTCACGTTTTACTTCCAAAATTTTATAACAAATTTGACCATAATTGTTTTTAATCACTCGTTTTTTTTTTGGTAATTAAGTGGTATAGCATAAAAAAACATGTTTACTTTTTTTTATAAATTATAGGCATAATTGTTTTTAATCACTCTGTTTTTTTTTTTTTGGTAATTGAGTGGTATAGCATAAAAAAAAAAAAAACTAAAAATAACAATAAGAAAAAAAAATGGGTGGAAAAAAAAAAAAAAAAAGAAAAAAGAAAAAGCAAAGCAGTCCACAGTAGTGGCCCAAATAAAAACACACCAACCCAGGCCCAATAAAAACGTTATATTCTAATTTCAAGCAAAACACAGGCGTATCCAACACCTATGAATTGCCATGGGCGGGGCAGATCAACAAGTTTGAGAGCATCAGCTTATTGTGAGTTGGTGGGTGGCGGCAGAGGGCTCATGTGATGATGGGTTGAGGAGAAAGTAAAGAAAGGGTTTGTATGTGTCGGCTGAAAGAAAGACGATTGTAAGTTCGACTCTGCAACAATTTCTTCAGCAAAGGACAATCGCATTTCCTGCTTAGAAAATAGTTTCAATCGAATTGCATATTTGTTTCTGAATATTTTGTTATTTCTCACCTTCCACGCAGGGGCAGAGCCAGAAAAAATTCAGGGTGCACAGTATAGATAAAAAAATAAAATCAATGAACATTAAAAAAATCCTTGAAATAAAGAGGCAAATTAGAAACTAAATTATTGCAAAATAATATGCAAATAAAATGAAAAAATTTGAAAGGAAAAAAGGAAATAAAAATGAGAGAAGGTTGAAAGGAAAAAAATTAAAGTTTGATTTAAAAAAAAAAAATTGACAAGAGATAATTTTAAAAAATAAAAATTTTAAGGGTGACATTATATATATTTTCTCACATATATATGTAAATATATAAAAAAAGTACTATATATATTATTGTCCACACGTGATATACAAAACTAGCCAAAGTTCATTTTCAAATCATGACTCATCTTTTTTTCAATTTTTGTTTTATAATTGGATGACGCATAAATCTTTCAATGAATTAGTGATAGTATAAGACCCACGAGATGATCTCTGAGTACTCACACTGATGAAACAAGTGCTTATGTTTCAAGATAAAATAGTCTGTTTGAGATTGCTTTTTTATTACTTGAAATCGTTTTTATTAATTGTGTTTAGATATATTTGGTAATCATTAAAAATAATTTTAATGGCTATTAAGTAGAGCGTTTGAATGAAATTATAATTTGGAACTTTTAAAACTACATTCTGAATAAATATTAAATATTTTGGGTAATTCTTTTTCATTAGTCAATTATGGCAATTTTTTATTTTTTATTTTTTATTTTTTAAAACAATTAAATACATTACTTAATAAAGTTGCTATTATCAAATATGGTAATATCCTGTTAAAAAGATATTATTGTAAAATTAGCAATAAATTTTTTAAAAAAATTATTGTTACAAAATAAATTTTAAAATAATTTAATTATAAAAAATACTCATTATAATGTGTTATCAAACCATTAACATATTTTTAATTGACCACAATTTTTTGACAACTCTATTAATAAAAACTTTTTTAATTCCAACAACAACCCCAAACAAGTTCATAGTATGTAAACATTTGGGTGCATTGTGAAGTGAAGAGCGAGTTTGTAATTTCTCTTGGATAGCTAATCATAGGCAAAATGAGTGTCTTGGGATAGCATGTTTAAACTAAATAAGTTTGCACCAAAAAATGGTTGGAATATGTTGAATAATAATGACTACAGGGGCATTTTTAAGGGAGTAAGGATTTAGTGGGTGATGGAATCCATTATATGATGTCATTGGCATTGAGATTAGGGGATTGGTAAGTTGGTAATGTCAATATCGGAAGGGGGTTAGAAATACATCAAGGTTGTGACCACTGTTTATTGGTGAATAGATATTTTGTTTTTCATTCATATGTATTATTTAATACGCAATTCTTTTTAAAATTTGATATTTAATTTGTATCGATTCGTTTATATTGACTTTATTTAAATTCATTATATCATAACCATAACCAATAATGCAAACCATATTCTCACTCTCACAATAATTTTTTTGTTAGAAAATTCCAACACTCTTTGAATAGATGAGTTTATACCATTGATATTAGAAATCCATTAATTAATTTAAAACACTTGTTAACAACTCACCATACATATTTTTTATTTAGAAATAAATCACAGTATAGTAACAAAAACAAAAACAAACACGGTGCTCATGTTCCACGTGAAATTGAAACCTAAAACAGCAATGGTTGCCAAATGGGCCAAAAATTTCCCCAAACAAACCGATCAAATTGCATTCCTCTCTAAAACCTAAGCGTGTGTGTGGACTCTCTTGTTTCTCATGAGAGGGGCCCACAAATGAGCTAGCAGGCATTGAAATCATTGCGAGGAAGCATCCATTGTTGTATCATGTGAGCAATAAACAATGGGGTTTGGGCAACAGAGACAGCAAGAAATTTTGAAGAGCTGAACATTCTAATCGTTGTCACATTTGGGAGAGAGACGCAAAGCGTCGGTGTGGGGGCTTCAATTATAGCAAGAAAATCCTCAGAAAAGCAAGCCCCCAACTCCAAATTCTCTTCCCTTCCCTTCTCTGTTTTCCTTTCCTTCTGGAGGAGAGAAGATGCAGAGGTCCCAAGATCAACGGTCAAGATCTGCCAAACCCACCACCATACACGGCTTCGCCCAGTTCGGAGATCTCCTTGCTGTTCAGAAATTACTTCGTGACAACCCTTCTCTGCTCAATGACCGAAACCCCGTTGTGAGATCTCTCTCTATATCTGTCTTTCTCTGTTATGCACACACACACGTACACACATTGTGTAAATGAAGAAACCCCATTATTGTAAATTGTAAGGATTATGAATCATTGTTGGTGAAAAGAATTAGTTAACTTTGGATGACTCTTCTATAAGAATTCTGGATGCATTTGATCTTATATTCTAATATTACTCTCCCCTTTTGAAAAGAAAAGGATTAAATGATTGCTTCTGAAGATCTAGTGTAGATATGTAAATAGACCTGCATTTTTACATTTGATTGACCTTCAGGGCCAATAGAAATGCAATGCAGTGGGTTTTCAAAATGGAAGAAAAATCTCAGATTTTGATGTGAGTGAGAAAAAATCAAGTTGGTCTAATTATGTAAACAATTGGGTTAGAGAAAAGTGGGTTTTTCATAATAGGTCCCAGGATTATTTGGATAGGATAATTTAATTCATTGACACCAGAGAACAGTGTGAAGTTAATCAAAGTGACATAGAGATGCATTAGAATTAACAGCTTTTAGACATAGGTACTACTGACTGATGAAAAAACCAGGAGCTAAGATTGTTTCTTTCTGTCAAGCAAATACTAGTGATAACATTTAACCTGAACATATCCAATGACATGGTCCTAACTCTTATCTGGTGTGAGTGGGCAGAAAAGGATATATGACGGTTGCGATGGAGATAACTTGAGTTAGTTTTGTGCTCCTTTGGGACTTTAGGAACATTTTAGGGATTAATTTTAGCTAATCTCGGTGTTTCTGAGCCATGTCCTGTAACAGTACAACACTATGATTGTGGCATTGTAGCAATGGCTCTACTTTCTTTGTTTTTGGCTATTGGTTGTAGCAACTTCATCTGTTAAAAATCGAGGATAATGAATTGCAATATGAAATCTTGCATCTGTCTGAATAATGCATATTCCTAAGTTGTTAGATTTTTTAGGTTATTTTTTCTAGATGCTTTGTGTGTGACATATTGGAGAACTTAACTTAGTTATTGAACAAAAAAAATAGAATCCCATCAATACATCCTAAGAAGTTTGAACATTTGTAAGGTGTCTTGTTTGTATTAGACACGTAACGGATATTCATCTTTTTCGTGAACTTTTGGGTGTGTGTCCAACATCTAATAGATTTGTACATACCTTACTGACCCCCCCCCCCCCCCCCCCCACACACACACACACACACAAAATAAAAAGATGGATAAACTGGAACTGTAAAGACAAGTAAAATCAAGGGTTTTTATAAAAACCTCACTTACATAAAGTAAGATACATGATAGTTTTACGTGCCTGCCCATGCACGCATATATGTCGTGTCTTTATTGTGCATGTGTCCATCCAACAAAGGTGACCGTACGGTAAAAATTCACAATATAACCATTGGATATCATTTTTATGAATCAAACTGTCAATAATGCAATCTCATATGTAAATATATATTTCTTTCTTGGTGTATCTCACTGTGCCCATATCATATTTTCTTAAATATTCGGCAGTTCCACATGTCTATGTCTTTTAGTTTTCATTTCTACTACCCTCAAATGAATCCACTTTTAAAAGCACCTTCAAGTTACATGCACTTAAACCTGTGGATATCTCTCATTTTATTTACCACCGCTGATTATTTGGTTATTGGTTGATTTTTTATAGTTTCTTTTTTCTTTTAATTTCTTTGTTTTGTTTTTTAGTTAGGTGGGGGTCAGGTGCTCATTGTAGAAATGCTTTAAAGAAATCAGAATTTTAATTCATAAATGTGAACTTTCTTTTCTGATTGCTGGGCAAATTAATGCATAGATATCTTGGTCTCATTGTTTTTTATTTGAAATTCCTACATTATGAAAGGGTAAACAAGAGTGACCATTTTCAATAATTATGAAGAATATTCTTTATTATATTTTTGCTTGAAGTATTCTCCTGAATACTAATTATCTGGATTGCAGGCTAACTCATTCATTAAATATAAAAGAAATTGTAAAATTTTATTTCTTGGTTTGTCTGCTCAGTGAGTTGTTTATTTTTTGTTTAAATGCAGATGGCACAAACACCTCTTCATGTTTCTGCTGGATACAACAATGTTGAAATAGTCAAGTTTTTGCTTGATTGGCGAGGGCCAGAAAAGGCCGAGTTAGAAGCCAAGAACATGGTGGGTAAAACTTATCCATCATCTGAGTTGTGGTACTTGCCTTCGATTATAACTGCAGCTCTGGTCAATTGACTCAAAATTGTATAATTGTGTGATTCCGTGGTGTTAAATATGGTGTATATTGCAGTATGGAGAAACTCCTTTGCACATGGCAGCGAAGAATGGGTGCAATGAAGCTGCACGGTTGCTCCTTTCTCATGGTGCTTTTGTAGAAGCCAAAGCAAATGTGTGTCTCCTTGCCTTCTTGTTATGCTTTTTTGGTTGAATTGGTAATATAAAGTTGGATTTTAGGTTTTACTGTCTGAATGTTCTCTTTCTCTTGCATCTTATTTGTGCAGAATGGGATGACTCCATTGCACCTTGCTGTTTGGCACTCACTACATGCTGAAGACTGCTCAACTGTCAAGACATTGCTTGAGTATAGTGCCGATTGCAGTTCCAAAGACAATGTGCGATTGGTCGCCATTATATAACAGACACATGTTCCATTGTTCTAATAAATGTTAGTAATTTGTAAAACCTTTGAAATGCAGGAGGGCATGACTCCCTTAAACCATCTTTCACAAGGTCCCGGAAGTGAGAAATTGCGGAAACTTCTTAACTGGCACCTTGAAGAGCAGAGAAAACGTAAAGCCATTGAAGCATGCAGTGAGACAAAAGCTAAGATGGATGAACTTGAAGATGCGATATCCAGCATTGTGGGCCTGCATGAGCTTAAATTACAACTCCGTAAATGGGCAAAGGGGATGCTTTTGGATGAGAGGCGCAGGGCCCTAGGGCTAAAAGTTGCCCCTCGAAGACCTCCTCATATGGCCTTCCTTGGCAATCCTGGAACAGGTAATTGTTTATCAGATTGTCTCCAAATCCAGGGGCGGATCCTGGAATTTCTGCTTGGGGGGTGCAAACATGAAAATGAAAATCAAATTAGGTGTATGAGAATCAAATATATAAAGTTTATATATACTCATAAGTTTAATTTATTTTTGGGTAAAGTGCAAAAAAAAACTTGAACTATATCTGAATTTGCAAGTAACCCCCTTGGACTATATTTTGTGCATAATACCCCTTGAACTATCACATTCTGTTGCAATATGCCCCAATGCCTAGACTATATTTCATTAAATGACCATAATACCCTTTCTTTTTGAATTACACTTAAATATAATTTTCTTTTAGAAATAAATTATGAAAAAAACTCAATACTATTGATGACATATTCTCCATTAAATTTGCATAAATTTAACTTTAATTTTTAATATTAATTGTTTAAATAAAAATCTTAAGTAGAAAATTTTAAAACAATTTAAGTAATTTATTATTTTTTTATGAATATATTGTATGAAAAAGAAGGTATTTTTTATTTAGGTAATTTATTAAATTTTCATAAATATATTGTATGAAAAAGAAGGTATTTTTTTATGGTAAAAATAGTTTAAACTGAGTATAATAAGTTCTATTAAAAATTGTATAATTAATTATTAGTTAATCATATTAGAAAATATAATTACAAATCTATTTATTGTTTTTTCATTTTTATGATAATTTGATACTAATAATAAAATTGAGTTAAATGGGATAATTATTATTTAGATAAGTGAAAAGATAAGAAAAATAATTTAATAAGAAATGACAAATTTAACGAGAAAGGGTAAAATGGTCTTTTGTGATGGGTTTATCTTTAAGTACAACAAATCAATAGTTCAGGGGGTTATTTGCAAAAGGCAATAGTTTAGAGTTTTTTTTTTTGAACTTTACCCTTTATTTATTACAATAGAAGTTTTAGTATATATTTCTTAATATAAAAGATTGTTAAAGAGATTATTTTATAAATTAAAAGTAATTTATAATCTTTAAAGCTTAAACACATGAAATGAGAAGTTCGGAAATATTGATTATCTTTAAGTTATTTTTTTTTTCTTCAAAATGGAAGCTTTAAAAATAAGGTAAAAAAGAGGCCAAATTGAGGTTTCGTTTGCAGGGACCAAAAATCGTATCTTTTTCATATTTGGAACTTATTATTTATAGGACCTCTTAAGTAGGATTTTTCTTTTCAAACTTTCGGGTCCCCATGTAGGTCTATCCTTGTCCACATCCTTCTTTGAATGCTTTCATTTCTGGTATATGCCTGTAAATTGCACCTATATAAGAACAATCTTATGATGTATTTTTGTTGTTAGTCTGTTAGATACTACCTTAGTTTTTCCCGTGTTACATGCATCCCTTGGCTAATGTGTTATAGAGCCAAATTCCATCATTTATTTGCTAAACTGTGATGTGCCAGAATTTTGTTATTATCCTTTTTATACCATTTTATAAATTATGTGTTAACAAGTGTTGAACTGCGATAGCATCTTTTTTGGTCTCGAGTTTGTCGTAAAACCTACAGTCTAAACCCTGCTATTCCTCGTTGATGCAGTGGTGAGTTGGTCTTCATTTCACATGTTAATACTGTAACTCTTTCAGCTTATCCTGATTAGTGATTGCTACCTAATACCTACCTATACATTCTTGTAAATACACTTTTTTCAAGCTGTCATTTTTTTTCCCTGGCGCCTGCTGATCTCTGCATTCTTATTGCAGCTGACCTCATTATTGAAAATGTTGTTTCTTGATAGTTCAACATTTGGTACCTTATCACATGGCTGGTTTTGTTGTTGTCTTCAACATCTCCTTTTCAATTTGATGGGTTTTCATGATCACAAAGGAATTGCTTTTGCACTTCATTTGTTAGTGAACCAAAGATAGTTAAAATGGTTGGTCTTAGGGGTATTTCAGATTCTCAATCATCACTAATAAATATGCCTTTAACTCTAGTTTTACCAAAAGTTCATCTCATAGTGTCAATTTTATCTATCCAATCTAAAAAACTTAAGCCCCTAAAGCAAAATTCTGAAATACTAAATTGTCGTTCTGAGAATCGTATTTGCTCAATCAAAGTCAATTTTTTTTTACCTAATTATTATTTTTCCTCAATTTTTCCTATTGGTAGTAATTTCATCAGGCAATGTCCTCTGATATCAAGATCTTTATTTGGTATCCTTATAAAAAAATCAAAATATCATTTTTTAGGAATGATATCATATTCTTTTACCAAGTCGATGAAAACCATGGACTCAAATCAACTAAAGCCTGTCTCAACTATGAGGGATTGAAACTACATGGTTTATTTTAAGATTATTTTATAGTTTTTATGTTATTTTATTGAAGAGTTCAAGCAAAGTGTTAATACACGTTGAATTGATTCATTGCGTAATTGATATCTCCAGAAGTTGTTTAAATTGCTCTGCCTTATATCTTGTATGGTTAATTACAATGCATGATCACCTGTATATGTAACAGGTAAAACAATGGTTGCTCGAATACTTGGAAGATTGCTTCATATGGTGGGAATTTTACCTACTGACAAAGTAACAGAAGTGCAAAGAACTGATTTGGTCGGGGAATTTGTTGGTCATACCGGACCAAAGACTAGGAGAAAGGTACTCCATTTTCCTACTGAAATCTTATATTGCCATTTTTATTTTTGGGTAAAGGTAAGTTTACCATTTTTTTGTATTAACAAAAGCGGGTACTTTAATGAAGTAATTCATTGCACATTGTCTGCAGATAAAAGAAGCCGAGGGAGGAATCCTATTTGTGGATGAAGCCTATCGACTAATACCTATGCAGAAGGCAGATGATAAGGACTATGGTTTGGAAGCTTTGGAGGAGATCATGTCTTTCATGGACAGTGGAAAAGTAGTAGTCATTTTTGCTGGCTACAGTGAACCAATGAAGCGCGTGATCACTTCTAATGAAGGATTCTGCAGAAGGGTGACTAAGTTTTTTCATTTTGATGATTTTAGTTCGAAAGACCTAGCCAAGATTCTTCATCTTAAGATAAATAATCAAGCAGAGGATAGTTTGTTATATGGATTTAAGTTGCATTCTTCCTGTAGCATGGATGCAGTAGCAGAATTGATAGAGAGAAAAACCACTGAGAAGCAGCGTAAGGAGATGAATGGAGGTTTAGTGGATCCAATGCTAGTTAATGCTAGAGAGAATTTGGATCTGAGGCTCAATTTTGACTGTATAGACACAGATGAACTACTTACGATTACCCTCGAGGATTTAGAAGGAGGTCTTCAATTGTTATCACAGTGAGACAAAGGAGGGAAAAAAAAAAAATCTCGAAACAATTCATTTGGCGGATATATTTCGAATTAAGAATGTTTGTCTCAATCATTGCAGAAGACTCTGAGGTTGTCATGATGTGGGTTTGACAATTAGCAGTTGTATGTTAGGAGACATTCTTTTATTGTATACGTTCCCCGTTTTGAAAGAATAGATTTATGATTTCCATAGATATTCTTGAAATTCTTTATTTCTACACATGTAGAAGATTATTTGTTTTGACCTCTTAATGTATAGCCGTCTTTGGAAGTTTGGGTTCATTTTCTGTGTTCATTCAAGTTAAATAATAAGCTAAAGTTAATTGCAGATTACTCACTTCCGTTAGTTCTTCCATTTTCTTTGGTCTTTCATTTTCGTATTTCAGTTTTTTGTTTTTGGATGCTTTCTTTATTTTTGCTCCTCCTTTAGTTGGTTCAGATTTTTTATCCTTCCAAAGTCGGTCTGAGATCATAAGCTGCAAAACTGGACTGTCGTGGTAAAAATCACATGTTCGCATTGTGCATATAACTTTCTATCTGAGATAAATAATCAAAACCTTTTTTTACTGAAATCATTTTGTTCAGCTAATGCTTTGGAGATTAGGTATGTGCTCTGCATATGTATGAATATGTTGCCCCTCACAATGAAATATAAATTATTATTTATGCTTATAAGTCGTTATTTTGAGAGTACTTGTTTAGACTTTAGAGGTAGGTTACAAGGACTATGGTAAGTGTATATTTGTAGGTTGAACACGTGAAAATGGACTGAGATAAGTATGTGTTTGTAGGTTAAACATGGTCATATATAAATCCTCATTCAACCATAAACTTAAAGCTTAAATTGTTTCAAGGTGTAAGAATGTCAATTTGTTACATTATCTTGACAAATTTTTTTTTTGGTTGGGTGCCCATTCAAGAATTTGACATTCTATTTTGAGAACCGGAAGAGATAACAAAAAGTTACAATCTTAAGAATCTTAAGAGATTCTTTTTTGCATAACAGAATCTCTTTAATTTACTTGTAATAAAAATTTCCAAGTTGAATAGGATGGTGAGATTGAAATTGGACCACAGAATTAAGCTTAATTTTGATGCATCAACCATGTATCCAAGTCTCGTGGAGGGGGTCTCATACTCAGAAAGAAATAATTTTGGTCAGCCAATTAAGGTCGCATCAGTCTTTTTCAGATTTGTTTTCAGCTCATCCGTGGCGGAACGTCTTGTGCTTAGGGAGTCCCTCAAGCTTCTTAAGTGTTGGGGGTTATTCTCACGTTACTGTGGAAGGTGATTGTAAATCACTTATGGACCTTTGCCCAACGGAAGAGGTTCTCTCTGTTATCTACAAAGATGCCTCTATCCTAGAGTTGTACATGGTGTGATTTGGATCGGATTGGGAGTTTTTTTAAATCAAACCATTTATGACAGTTCCATTAATTTTGAAATTAGATCGAATCATAATGCTCATAAAACCAAACCAAACCACGAAAAATTGGTTTGGTTCGGTTCGGTTTGTCAGTTTCAATTGATTTCCTTTTTATTTTATTTTTTAACAATAGAATTTCTTATTTTTCCTGTATATAATACATAAAACCTGCAATATGAACTTAACTTGTGAAACAACAAACAGATTCAGTATATATATTTTTTCTGATACAATTTGACAAACACTACTCTTCCACTTTAATGTTTAAAGAACCAATAATCTCTTCTGGTCCGTAATGGTTATGCTTTATTTTTGCACCATTTGGTCTCTAATTGCGTAATTTTTTGTTGTTTGGTAATTTTCATTTATGATGTTTTTCTTATTATGGCACATAATTTGGTTTTCTTTATCTCTCTCTCTTTGCTAGCTTTCATCATGGCCTGATACAAGTTCAAAGAATATGGGAATTGGGTAACTTGGGAGTAACTTTATTGAGAAAGGTGGGAAGTGGCGGGAGTAGCTTATGTCCAGCCAAAACTATAAGTTATATCATATATATATATATAAAAGTTATACAACGGTTCGGTCTCGGCCGAACCAGTCTAGCAGGACCTCAAACCAGGACCCTACCATAAAATTACGGTTTCATAATTTTGGACCCAAGACCGGATCAAACCGCTATACAACTATCCCAAACAGTCCAGTTCAGTTCGGTCAAATCCAATCCGATTTTTCGGTTTACCGAAATTTTTGAACACCCCTACTCTATCTCTGTCCTTCTTGCGTCTTGCCTAAGTGCTTCCCTTGGTTGGACCCCTTGTAAAGGTAATGTTGTTGCTTACTTATTGAACAAATCGATTTTAAAAGTCGGTAGTAGTGATTTCAGGTTCAGCATATGGCCCCGTGAATATTAAATGCTCTCACCCCGTAATGTATCTCTTCTCTTATTTATTGCTATTCTCTTAAGTTAAAAAAAAAAAAAAAAAAAAAAAAAAAAAAAAAAAAATTCAATAAGTAGATTATGGAAACAAAAGTAGAATTGGATTGAGAAATATCGCGTCCAAACGCTGGATAACGGAGGACTTCAAATCCGGGGATAGTCTAGTCCCGAAACAAACACGACCTGACAGAAAATACAAATTCGCTGAAAAATTGGGGGTGGCGTAGTATTAATTAGTATACGGCTGTAATTCATAGCGAAGTCCAGAACCAGAGTATCGGAAATTCCCATACTCCGGTTCACAAAAATCTTCTCGCTCTCTCTCTCTCTAAAAAGAAGTATGGTCTGTAGTTCTCTGTCCATATTATCATCAACGCCATCTTTATTCCCTTCGAATTCAAACAACGATTCAACTTCCACAGCCGTTGGTTCCGCTAGGGTTCGATTCTTCAATGTCCGGAGACGAGACTTTAGATCTCTCAAGCCCCTGTCTCTTTACTACCATGGTCCTCGAGCTTCGAAGACTGAAATTTATACGAAGCAATCGATTGAAGATGACTCAGCCGAGCAGTTTCTGCAGAATAATTCGATTGCAGATTTCATGAGGTTCAAGAAAGGGACCTCCGATGGAGTCGGCAATGCCGAGTTGCAGACTGCTGTCGTCAGCTATCGAAAGAAGTTCCCTTGGTCCCTCCTCAATCCATTCCTTCAGGTATATATAATATATAACTTTTGATTCAATAATTGCTACATATATGTATGTGTGTGTGCAGCTATGAGTTTTAAATTCTTTGTAATGATGGAAGTTCATTTGTTGCTTCTGTAGGTTGATTTGGTTTCCACAATACACATTGCGGATAAGGAGTAAGTTCACTTATCTACAACCAGCATTAATTTCCCTAGTAGTTGTAATTTAATTTGGGAATAACTTGTTGTAATTATAATTTCATGTGTTGGGTCGATGCGATTTCAAGTATGACCTGTGCTTACAAGGGGAATTATATTGTATATTCTAGCTCTCTCTCTCTGTATAATCCAAAAACCAGCCCAGTTGAACCTTGTTTTATTGTTGGTGCACTATCATTGAATTTTATGTGAGATTTTGATCCCTTGTCTATTTTGAAGATCCTGTCAATAAATGCTGTAGAGATTTTCCTAGTAGCAATGAAAAAAAAAGTTTGGAAATTTGATGTGAAGATGACACAGCCAATCAGCTATTGTTTAACTAATAAGCAACACATTGATTTATTATCGCTTATATTTGCTACTAGGGATTGCTGTTTATAATGAGTCGTATGACAAAAATGGTAGTACAGTTTACTTGGTAAAAGCACATGAAATGAAAGAAAATTGTTGATGTATACTGGTGTTTTCAGTCTGCTCGCCACAATGGAAACTGCTGATGTATACTAGTTTATTTACTCTCTCTCTCTCTACATTAGGGTTTAGTTGCATGCTTGTATTATGCATGACTTACATCTAGCCTTCTTTATTCTTCTTGTTCTAGATTTTCACTTATTATTTGTTGAAAATATTTTCTTCTTAACAATCGAGGATCATTTAGTAATTTTTTTGGTCAAGTATCTCTTTTCAATTTTGGCCATATAGCTTGTAAGAATTTATGATATTAGCTTAAACATCCCAATTTAATTAATCCAATTTCCCACCTTCAAGGGCGGGATTAATCCCTTCAGGTGCCCACGTTCACCCATAAATCATGGGTATCTGGTCATGCCCAGGTGCCTTATATGCCAACTCAACTAATTCTTATTTCTGCGTACAGGTACTTTGCAACCCTCCAGGAGGTACTAGAATCCTATGACTGTGTTCTGTATGAGATGGTGGCTAGCAGGGAGAGTTTAGAGAGCAGAAGAAACCCTGCTGCTACGAAGAAGCTCAAAAGTTCACGGTCACGAGGTTTTAATATTATTGGATGCATTCAACGGCAGATGGCTAGACTTCTTATGCTTGATTTCCAATTAGACTGCCTTGACTACCAGGCTGAGAATTGGTACCATGCAGATCTTGACTACGAAACCTTCAAGCTACTTCAGGTTCTACTCCTTTTTACTCTGTCTATAGTTGATATAACACACTAGTGCTTTATTTATGGAGGCTTGGAATCCTTATGAGACTTTAGGGTTGAGAACATAAGGATTAGGGTATTTCAAGTGCTCTTACTTTGCTTTGATGGGATCTCTCTGCTTTTTAAAGTTTTAAGTTTAATAGCGTAGCTGTATATATGCCATCAACATTCTGACTTGAAAATCTCATGCTATTATCATTTAATTCAGCTTGAGAAAGGTGAGAGCTTCTTTACATTTGCCAGAGATATGACTCTTAGATCAACAAAAGCCATGGTGCAACCACCTTCAAATTCAGGAGAGCTAGGTCCTTGGAGATCCAAGCTTCTATGGGCTTCTCGTGTGCTACCCATGCCTCTTGTTGGTCTTCTTATCATTGGAAGTGTTTGTTCGGATGTGGAAAGTCAAGCATCAGAATATCCTGAATTCGAGGCCTTGTCCAGGCTCGATTTTGGTGCTGCGATGAAGGTCTTCCTGGCAAAAAGACTAGCATCTGAGTAAGTATATTCCATTTTTGTTTCATTTTGTTTTTGCCCTTTTTCTAATCTGAAGTCTTGCTTGCACTAGGCGGTGGTAATGATATTGTTTGATGTTTGGTTAATATGTTAGTGCTTTGGAATGGACTATATGATTAGGGAGCATAGACTTGAGTTGGGTGAGCCTGCTCTTTGTCCAATCTCAGTATTGCATACCATAAATTAGTCAACTGCACCAATCCTTGCCGCAAATATAAATTGTGTATACCAACATATCTGCTATTTTATTACAGCTAAATTTTAACTTCTTTGTTCATTGTATCTAATAAGTTAATGAGGACAATACTCATTCTGAATGCCAAGACCTTGAGATCCTTCATCTTTGTATTTATGGCTTGCTGTTAGATGGGGAACCTACAAATAATCCCCCCCTCCTCCCCAATTCGACTCTATTTATTAAACCCTCTTGTTTCTTATATTTTTCCTATTTTTACTTTTTTAGTGTGAAATCCTGGGTTTTTATTTAATTTTTTTTTTTTTTTGAGGTCCTTGATTTGACGACGAGCTCATTTGGTATTAAAACTGCATCGATTTTCTTTTGGAACTGTCATTCCATTGTAGATAGTGGATCAAGAAAAATATCTTTGCTACTGCTACTATACAATCATGATTTTTAGAAAAGAAATGCCTGGCGGGTGAGATGACTCTGTTTAGTGAAGGTATTGATTGAATGCTATTATAAGTGCAGGTTCACACAGCTTACAGCAGATGTAGAGGAGAGATCTGTTATAATTGGTGAGAGGAACAGAGCTGCAACAGAGGCACTTCGAAGGGCGATGGATGAGGGCCACAATAAAATTGCTATATTGTATGGAGGAGGGCACATGCCTGACTTGGGGAGGCGACTACGGGAGGAGTTTGACCTTGTCCCTTTGCGGGTGCAGTGGATAACAGCGTGGTTAATAAGGAATCGGAATCTAAATAGCAGCTCCCTTCCATTTCTAAAGACAATGGCCAGAATCTTGGGTTGGCCATTGAACAGATACGAGACGCTGGCACTGTTGATTTTTTCCTCTGTCCTTGCATTGGACCTCTGTTTCTGGGAGCTCTTTTTCGGTACTACACTGAATTGGCTTTCAAATGTTGCTTCAGAAGTTTTTCAATATGTTGATGATGCACAACAGGTGCTCTGATAATTCTTAATGAAATACAAATTGTTTGCCTCGAGGAGGATGTTGGCAAGTTGTTTATGCCTGTAAATATTAGTATAAACTTCTGTAATGAAAATTTGAAATATAGCAAATTATTTGGGCCATTTGGATACAGTAGAACCATTTCTTGTCTGGGTAGAATACCAGCGTGATTAGTTCATGTACCCATTTCTTCTTGGATTGAATTGGTATATAATTATATATGGATATTCATTTCATCATTTGCTTGGTTGGGAGATCACGGTATTCTGATTTGTTTATGTTTAGCCTTCAACATTCTCCACTTTAGAATCTAAATTTGATCAGTAGAAGGTAATGTCAAATATTTTAGACACTTGTCTCGATATGAACAATGAAATGCTATGGATTACTTAGGCACTTTGGTGCATTCTAAGTATCTCCTTAGTGGTGGAGTTAGGATTTCATTTTGCGCCGGAAAAAAAGGAAAATATCAGCTATCCTATATTTTTTCATTAATTTAAATTTTTTTTAACAAAAGTTTCTTGGCACTTCACAAATAATTTGGTAAATGAAATGGGTTGAAAATAATGCAACGAGTAAAATATCTCTCTTTAAATAACTAGATGATGATACATTTATGCATTTTAATCATGTTCTATTTTAATTTAAATGTAAAATTTGCTAATTTAGTGGAGCATAAGATACATATTGTTAAAGAGTGCAGCGCTTGGCATGTCGTCGCTTTGGCCGAGTGGTTAAGGCGTGTGCCTGCTAAGTACATGGGGTTTCCCCGCGAGAGTTCGAATCTCTCAGGCGACGATTGAACTAAATTTTTTTCTTTGACTGATCAGTTTCAGAAGGATTAATAGGTATACTGCAATTTTTTTTTATGTAATAATTTGTACTATTTATGAACCACTATTTATGTTTTTAGTTTAACATATAGTAATCTAATTGTGTAGGTAATTGATTTGTCAGAGAGTCAACTATAATATTAAACAAGTACAGTATTAATTATGTACGGAATTTTAAAATTAGAAGAAGTACAAAAATGAAGTAATAATCAGATAATACTTTTCGATTAAAGAAACTTGTAGTGGACTCGATTTTCCTTTTCATGCGTGTTAATTCAGGGAAAAAATCATGGAGGAATCGAATCCTTTTCATGGCCAACGGATAGATATTATAGTTGTGAAATTAATTTAACCAAGCACAACTTTTAATAATTGTTTTCCAGTTTTTATTTTTTATAGTCAGTTTCAAAATCCATTTTCCTAAATTTAGTTTGAATGTGACCTAGCACACCTTGATTAAGTATTTAGGGGAGTTATCAAATCGAAAGTTTTCAAAAGATAATTCAAACCACAAAGCATTTTTCATAATAAAAAAGATTATATATATATATATATATATTCGTTTCAAGCCACTTGGTACACTTTAATTGATTGATACATAAATAAGTACTTATCTAAATTGATTTGACTCTTCACCTTTATTACAAATGGAATAATGAGTATAGGTAAGATGGTACAAGCTCCTCTCTTTAAAGGCGAAATAAAGTGTTTGTCCGATAAATAAAAACTTTGTAAGAATAAAAACTCTTCACATATACAAGGTATTTTTCAACCCTAATATTATTTATATATTAAATACATATTGAGTTTATAATCTTAGACAATTATAAGTTAATATGGTTCATCATTCCAATCAGATTCAAAATAGGTCATAAGAAAGTTCCATATTTGATCAAAATTAATTTTATTTTTATTCAAGTCTCGTGTTTTTTATGTGATGCACCTGTGCGCAAGCTGTATATACACGGTTGTTCAATGGTTTGATCAGACCAATTTCATTTTCATTTCTCTCATTTTTGGCTAGGGATGGGACTTAGGTCTTAATTTGAGGTTTGGAGGTCGTAGTTGGCAATTCCACAAGCAACATACAGACAATTTATTATTATTTTTTTAATTTTTGTTATTTTCAAGAAATTCACACACATCCACTTAACACTTTAATCTTTTAAAGATTCAAACACTAACCATCCACTTTAATTAGTAAAAAAATACATATTAATGTGATATTCATGTCAGTTGGTACATTAATAACAATATTTCATATACTATGGATATTCAAACTAAGATGGTTTTTCCTTTACCCTTGGGAAATGGAATTTGCCGGTGAAGTTTATATTTTCAATAAATTTAGCAACTAGGTCTATTTCAAATTTAGAATTTTATGATTTACATATTAAAGAAGTTAGTTCAATGCACAATATTTCTGTCATTGTAACGTCTAAAAAAAACTTTGTGTATGTAGTGTTATCTCCTCATGCAAAGAGTGTCATGAGCTTGTTATGACTCGGTAAGTTGCAAAAAAAAAATTTGCGCAAAGAGTGTCATGAGTTTCTTATGACTTGGTAAGTTCAAAAAAACATTGCGTGCAATATTTGATTAGTACGAGGAGATCGAAAGCGCAATCGTATATATAGATACTGTGAATTAATAAGTAGGTATAGCGCCCTTTCAATAAATTGTAGTACATCAATTTTTCATTCTTATTCAAAATGTATCACGCTCATTTGATCAACTACTAACAAATTGAGTTTGAACAGCTGAATTTTGATTAAAAAATTTCGACCGCTCAAAATTTGTTGAAAGAAAATAAGTTGTTAAAGTTTGGCTCAACATGGACTCATCAAATCTTAAATCTGAAAGTTTGGCTTAAGTTGTTGTTAGAATAATGATGTCTCAAATTCTGGATTATGCGTCTATTTATTATTTTCTCCGTCCCAAAAAATCGTACTTTTTTTTTTTTGGTCTATTTTAAAATAATTGTCCATTTTCTTTTTTCAAATAATATATTTCAAATCTTTCCATATATGTCTTTGAAGTTTAAAATTTTAAAAAATATTCAAAACTTAAAAGGACAAATTAATAATTTTTTAAAAATTACACATCCCAAAAGTGACATTTAAATTTGGACAAAGGGAGTATTGAGAGTATGAGTGGAAAGAATACAATGGGTAGAGAGAGTTTACGTGTTTGTAAGATCTCATCGCACTCCAAATTGGTTAGGATTCCTAGAATTTTAGCTAGTTAATTAAATGTTCTTACCATTATGAATCAACTTGGGAGATTTATATTTTAAATGTTTCATAATGGTAAGAATGTGTGTGTGTGATTACTATATATACACACAAAAAGGAAAGCCGGTATTTGTATACATACATACTCAATGTATCTATATCTATATACACAAAAAGAAAAATTGTATCTACATCTATATACACAAAAAGAAAATTTGTTGTTTGTATATATAGATACTTAATCTATCTATATACACAGACACACAAAAAGAAAGTTGTTGTTTGTTGGTATAGATACTCAATCTATATATACATAAAAAGGAAAGTTTTTTGTACATAAAGATACAACATCTATATATACACAAAAAGAAAAGTTGTTTTTTGTATATAGTATAAAAACTCAATCTATATATACATGTAGGTGCATACTGTGAGGGGAGAAGAAAAAAAAAGGAAAAGAAGAAAAATAAAGAATTTAGGTGTTTATATATATACATACCCCATTCAAATGAGGAGAGAGAAGAAATAATTAAAATGGCACTTTAAATGGTAGGATATATTTATTTAACTAGTGTGAAATGGTGAACTATGTAAATCTTGTGTGTTGTGATTTAGAATCATTTTTTTCTTATTTTTAATATTTTGCTTCTGTTGTCTCAACAAAATAGTGAACTATGTAAATCTTGTGTGTTGTGATTTAGAATCATTTTTCTTCTTATTTTTAATATTTTGCTTCTGTTGTCTCAACAATTGAGTTTAATTGCAGGTGGAGTTAATTAATCACGATGGTGATGGTCATCGAACAAGTTTTGCTCTTCGATGTGACCGACCTAAAAGAATAGTGGGCTTATTCTCTCGCTCTGAAAAGAGAATGGTAGTTTTGCTCTTAGCCAAGGTTTGTTTTCAGCCTAAAAGAAGAGTGGGTGCAAAACATAATCGTGATGAGATATTGTGACGACCCTGGTTTTTAGGCTAGCGTGTCCTGTGATGAATTGTAAGGATGATCCGATAACGGATCCGAATGCGGAAGCGAAAATAAAAAACAAGACTCTAAAAAGTCAAAGTGACCTTCCATGAGGTCGTGAAACTCAATAAGAACTGATGCGGAAACAAAAGATTGAAAATATGACAAATAAGCCCCCAGGGGCAAAATAGTCATTTCTGAAAACTGTAGATTCGGGTGCCACCGAGCACACCGCTGGAAGGACAACAAAAAACTAATCAAGATGGACTCAAGAATCGCATGATTCAAAATTCGGACGAAGGAGAAACGGCATGACGAAGAAAAACGAGCACTTAAGGCAAAAGGGTAAATTGGTAATTATCCAGGAAGAACCGGGTGCAACCAAGCACACCGTTGGAAAGACAACGAAAAATTAGTCAAGTTAAAAAAAAAAAATTCACTTGAATCGGAGTCTGGACAAAGGAGAAAAGCCCAAAAGAAGAATTGACGTCGCGGCGGCCCGACGAAGGGCCATGGCGCACACAGCGCCCATGCGCGAGCCCACCGGCGTGCACGCCGGCGCCCAAAGACGGTGGCAGCCCTTGGCTGCTGCTATATTTTTTTTTATCTGCCCAGAATTGAGGCTTTAAACGGAGGTCAAGACGAGTTTTTCTGGAAAAACACGAAGAAGAAACCTCCCCTAAAATCGAGTTTTCTACCCGACAACGCATACGGAATCGAAAAAAACTCACTGTGAAATCCCCAAAATGCCCCTAGATCAGAACTGAACAAGAGGGTCATAAAGCTGCTAAATGAAAACTGGAAGCTGAAACTTCACAAGGGATTTCCGGTACCAAGACGATATTTTCTGGAAAAACACGAAGAAGAAACCCCCCCTAAAATCATGTTTTCTATTCAACTATGTCAAAAGAAGAATAAAACTGATATGAAAGGTCCATAATGCCCCTAGATCAAAATATGCAAAAAAAATGCGAAATGAATTCACAAGAGGCTCAAAACACAAACGATAAGGTTTTGCCCAGAAACGACCATGCATGCAAACGTAACTTACCTATTTAGACGTGCTACAATGGTCCATGGCTTAAAAATATAGCCGATACAAAATTCGACCCCCCAACGGGCAAAAAGGCAAAAATGGAACTTGGAATGAAAACTCGGAATCCAAAAATGCAAAACGGGATCAAATGACCGTTTGGCCCTTGGCCACACTT